AAAATAACTGTTAAATTTCAATTTTCACGAGTAAAAGTGCTTTTAAACTTCTGGAGTTGATAAAAAACTAATTGGCAGTCATTAGTTTATATACTTTTTAATTAATTTTGTTAATTATCCAAAGAGGTGCAATTTTTTTTAAGAGAAAAAATATTTGCATTATTTTTACTGTCAAGATGAGTTTCAATGAATTCAATACCTGAGAATTCATATCTTACTAAAATCTATTTTGTTAATATGTATTTTCCATACAAAATTATATTTTTTCTTTTTATTTATTTTTTGGTATGGCTAACACTAACATTCTAATTATAAATTAACTTTTCTAATTAGAGTTAATAATTAGAATTAACATTTCCAAATTTTTTAAACATTATTTTGGATATCTAGATGGATTCGCACATCTCACAGTAAAAGAAAATTAGCTTATGGCAAATATTTTCAAATCTAAACTTATAAAATAAAATTAAATGGGAAAATATATTAACTCTGCAGATATATTCATTTCAAAAAGCTACTTTAAGTCATGTATGCATTGATATAAAGATTGAGTCATACTGCAAATAAGCTTTTAATTTTCCTCCTATTATTACATCTAATGAATATTCATTTGAGTTAATTTCAGAATGGTGATGCCACTTCTAAACACGTCTTGACAGCCAGAGAAAGACGAGGTAAAAAATCTCTAATGCCAGTTTCAGATGCAAAAAGTATATCTTTGAATGGAGAAAGAGCAAATAATTCAGTTTTATAGAATGGCAAAATGGTTAAATTCAGCAACCTTCATAAAATTGTTGCCATTCCCATGAAGCACGATATTCTTTTATGATGTACGGTTCTAATTAACATTCTTATTATTTTATGAAATAGAGGGTGAAATCAGTGCTGTCTTATGTTATTTTCTTTCTCGTGGAATATTTAATTTTTTTACATAATTTTTATGTATTTTAGTCTTAATAAATATTTAGAATTAAAAATATTATTCATGACTTTAATTATTAAGTAATAATGTGTATTTAATTATTTATTATACTTCAGCACTAACTGCGAACTGATATTTCAAACATACAGGTAAGTAAATATTTTTCAAGAAGCCCCAACTGGTTTAACCCACCCTTGTAAAACACAGTCATTTAAGAAATACCTTATTCCAAAATTGTAATCGGCATTATCGGCACAAAACACGAAATTTTCGTCCATTCTAATTGCATACTTTTTAAATATTGGAACATTACATCTGCACTTTTATCAGGATTCTCAAAAGATTGCGTGTTTCCCTGTACCAAATTTGGTATTAAAATAAATAATACAAACTGGAAATATTTGTTTTACTGGAATCATCAATTTGAAGAAAAAACTATTGAGGTTAATCATGGTTTTTCAATTTATTTAAAACTACAGCCTTTTTATCTCTGTATATTAGTAACCACATACTTCGTATTTTTTGGAAGATATTTTTGCTGCTAATTTAGAATCTTGTATATTTTTTTAAATTTGATTTTCAACTGCAATCAAATGAGTTGCAGCAATTGTGTTTAACTGCATGGCAGATTTAAGCTTTTTTCCAAAGCAATTATTATATCTTCTTTATATTTTGTATTTAATGTATGAATTAAAAGAACCGGATGATAATGCACTACTTTTATTTTTATGCCAATGTTTATGGCGTCTTGTAGCTAAACCAAATTTCATAAACATTCATACATCACTTTGCTTCAGGTTGACTGATAGTTGTTGCTAACCGTTTGTAAACTTCTCAATTTTTGTTATACAAACATAATTCCTTGCTATTTTTCTTATCTTTTCGGTAATTTATTTAGTGGGATAACAACCATTTAATAAAATGAGATTTGACGAACATAAAAAGTGTATACGATCTAGCAATTCAAAGACTAAATATACATTTTTGCCAGACACAAGTACTTTAAATTAAATGAAACAACTTGCAAATGAAGCACTACATAAAAACTCAATCAAAAATACAACACATTTTCTCCAGCAAGAAGTTTGTCTTGCAATGCCACACAAATTTTAAATTTGAAAAGTACTGATATTATAGTTTTAGAGTATTCATGATAAATAGCTGCATAAAAGGAATTATTAAAAATATTTAAAAAATCTTAACTTTATTGACTATCTTTGCTATTACTTTAAACCTATCATGAAAACTATTTTGACAGGCAAAAACTAAAAGTGAAATTACATAAAATTAAAAAGACTTTCCATTCAAGGCAGGATATTGCATTGAAAAAAAATGGGAAGAAAGTAAGACTAGTTGCGCCAACTCTTAGGAATACTCAAACAGGCAAAAAATAATCACAGAATACCGAGGCTGTTCACACATTTTTTTGGCGATTGTCATTGTATTTACACAAATATGTTGCTTAAACTTCATGTGTTTTAAACATTCCATTTCATAACTTATTTTTCACTATCTTTCTATACTGCAATTTCAAAGGTAGCAAAGTCTCTTATAGTATCGAAAGGGAGTATTTTATCTTGTTCATCTTGAACAGCCTTTTTTAAGTGCAAGGAGGGTTGTAGGTCAACATTTGGACAATTCGTTTTTTAAAAGTTCAAAAGTGAAAACATCAGTGGATGGTACATCAAGGAGTTAAGTAGAGATATGAGTGAAGGGATAAATTTTTCTTGTTCTGTTGTTTCTAGAAAATTAAGAGCGGATTTTTGACTTGCAGCTGCTTGTTTTAATGCAGTTCTACTGATTGATGACACTGTGGATAAAAAGAAGGTATTTAATACTTGAAAACTGGCTATAAAATATGTTCCTGATAATATGTGAAGTTGACCTTAAGTTTTCTGTATTCTTTAATTTTTATTTGTTGTTATATCAAAAACCAGCATCAATCATAAATCCCTTTAAAAAAACTTCTAGATTCTTTGAACTGTGTTCTAAGATTTTCTTCTTCTCTTTGATGATAATAAATGGTTCTCTTTTATTGCATTTATTTAAAAATATACCCAAAATCTATCTATTGCGACAACGGTTTTCCATTTTTGCCTGAATAATTATTTATCACAGAATTCTACAGAAAGTTCTACTTTCAGCAATATAACGTGGAGAGAGACGATGCCCACTACTTTTTTTGCCTTTTTAAGATACAAATCACTTTGTTTACATCATTAATCACTTTGTTTACTGTTGACATTGATCATTTTAATGATTAGGCAGCTGTCCATTGACTTTGCAGATTTTTTTTAACATTAAAGTTTTTATCTTTGCAACATCCGAAACATTTTTTCCTTGGCTACGCATTTTGAATAATTTTTTTTTTCCTTGAAGCTAAACTTTGACGCTTTTCTTTTTCACAACAATACATAGTATTGTTATATTATATCATGGCTTTCATGGCATATTTTAATAACTAAATGCGACTAATTTTCTTTGGAAAGAATACAAATGTAGCCTTCTGTCGACTGCTTCTTTAGAAATGCAATTTTGCATGAAAACAAAATTGTCAAGTAACAGACGATAACTTACATTTTCAAAAATATAGCTGCAATTAAAAAATTTGTTTCCAAGCAAGCAATTTTTTATAGCAATGTAGTCTAAAAAAATGTGCGAACAGCGCCTCTGTATAAAAAGATGTGCAAGTAGCGAAAAATCCATTTTCAACGATGCAAATTTTACTCTTCATTGCACAATGACCATACGGCACAAAGAGTTGAATGTGTGATGAGAAACATTAACCAGAAAGAATTAAGCAGAGAACTACATTACATTGCAGCTAACTGTTTTGTTGGCTGAGAAAAGCTAGCAGGAATTTTCCATTCCTTTGGGTCAAATGTTTAAATGACATCACCAAATGCCATTCAGCTACAAGAAATTTCAAAATAAACATTTGGCAACCAAAAAAAAAAGGGGGGGGACCAAGACTGCAAAGCTGACTAAAGAACTGGCCTTTCGAAAATGGACTTTTGGCAATTCTGTATGTTATAGAAGTTAATGACAAGAATGGTATAAAAAATACTAATTTTTTTATATTCTGCACTCATAGTATTATACTATTCACCCTGGTACCTTATAATTTGTTCAGTAAATATGGCATATATATCATTTCTTTATGGTGTTACATTTTGGATAGCTAACCATGTATTATGCTTAATAATTTTACAGTCCCTGCAAAATTTAGAAGAAACAAGATGTTTATCATCGTTTCTCAACTTGCCGATTTGCTTTTATTTTTTGACAGGAAGCAGATAACCAAGTTCCTAGAAAGGAAACGCTCCATTCTACTGTACACACAAACACAAATTATACATTTCCAATTACAGTAGCATAATTTTATGATTCAAAAAAGAATGTTGCATATTTATTTTGTATGATTAAAACAGAAAATTTCCATCCTTCACCGAGTACAGTGAGAAACTAAAAATTTAACACGAGATCAAATATTCCAATTAATATCTTAAAAAGGAAAACCTCTATTGCAACTCTCACATAAAAATCCTACAGGTCTAAAATATTAATACAAAATATTCTACAGATTTCAAGGATATTCACATAACAGTTTATAACTTCGTCAGGAAAATAGAAGTCTAAGAAAAATTTACACATGTATTTCTATTGCATAACACATACATTTATAATCATTTTATTGTTTAGCCTGCCAAGTTCAAAATCTAAGTAAAATGCCTATAATTTAAGAATACAGATAAGCTGCAAGATTATTTTGGATTTGCTAAACTCAAAAAGTATTTCCTATATCCATCTGTTCTGTATTTATTAATCACTGTCTTCATGAGGTGTATAATATAATTATTTATTATTAATTAGTTAATTAGTTATTAGAAGTTATTAATCTGCTGAATTAAAGACATGAAAAAATTTTAAGAGAAATGGCAAATACTTTTAAACAAGCATAACAGTATTTAATAGGCTACTCTGTACTTTAAGTTCATGCTTGTCCTTTACACCTATAAAATATTATATTCTGAATGGCTAAAATCGCATCAGAATGGACAATAAGTGCTTTCAAAGCAAGGGATTAAAAGTATGTTTATTTCTAATATTTTCACATAATTCATATATTTACTGGACATAAATAGGAACAAATTAAAAGACGATATTTATTGCTCAATGAATGTTTACACTGATATTTTTTACAGCAAATATAAATGGTCTTCAAATATGGTGGAGAAAAATGATCAGGTCTGCACACTTTTCTTAATCACAACATTTAACAGGCAGATTTGTTTTTTACAAACATATAAAAATGTAAATGAGCTATACATACAAAGCAGTTAATGCAATAACTATTTTCATTCATGTTCTTTGCATACTTACAAGATCTAGAGGAACTGAAGAGGTATGAAATATAAAGCTCAATATTTACAATCTAATAAATGACAGTTCCATTCAAAAAAATATTGTAAAGTATTTATCACAGTCTCATTTAAATCTGCGGATGCCAATTTAATACTGAATTTTACATTAAAGTTTTACTTAAAAAATAATGGTTGGATGATCATAAAATTTACTATAAAATTACACAACATGAGATAAATTCACAATGTTCTGCAAATATAAACTGGATGTGTTACATATGCAAATTTTAAAATACATTTAATGAAACTATAAAAATAAGTTAATGCGAACAACGTTTCAACCAACTTTAAGGGTAACAGCTTTATAACATCAATATTTCACTATTTTAAAGCTAACAGGCACAGTGCAATTCAGAGAACAATTAAATATAGAAGACTTAATGTAATATGTACATTATGAATCAAACAAAATGGTGCTTTAAAAATGCATTTGAAATAGATATAAAGCACCATTCACACATATAAAAAAGTACTCATCCAAAATAATGACTCAGGAATGCTGGTATTTACAAAATACAATTTATACAAAACAAAGGATCACAGATCTTTTGTTCTGCATGACACTGTACAATATTCAAAATAAACATATAAACAGCACATGATAAACATTAAACAATACCTCAAATATATTCCTTAAATGGCTGCAAACAGGAAAAAAGAACTATAGCACAAAAATATTACCTTACATATCTTTAAAAATATTACAACTGCTTTTCTCCCAATTCTGGTACAGAAATGAGTAGTCTAGGCTATAAAAGCTCTACTCGTCCAAAAAATAAAACTTGCAAAGATCGTCCCAACTTCTGTGATTCACAAAAACCTCAATGCCCTTCCAAAACTCGAATAATCAAAGTCATTCTCATCTTTTTTTAATAAAAAAGTTCAGGCCTGAGGATATTTAAATTGTATTATTACATATGATAACTGCATAAGTAACATCACTTGACAACTGCAGGGCCAGCCTATCGAATGATTTTTATGCACTTAATATATACACATGTAAATCAAATATCAATATATACACATGCAAAGAATATGAACAAATTACATGTATTCTAATATATATACATGAAAAAACCATACACAGAAATTGTACATTTTCTCCATGTGTATATGCATTGAAGTGTATATTATTTTGCTTTTATTCTTCTGCATGTTTATGCTATAGAAGTATTTTCTTAATGTATTCTGCTTGCCACATACATTATGATTTCATGGCCGATGAAACCTGAAAAATAACAAATAATTTTTCAACAGAATATCAGGAAATCTATTAACTTACAAGAACTGTTATATTAGCACTTAAATTACATGCATTCACTGGTTGGTTGAATTAGTTACATACTCGATGGCTATCTGGAAAGAAAGGGACGCCTGCATAGAGAACTGAAGGAAAATTATTTCTTAACCATATCACACATGGGAAGAATCAAGAAAACACCCATGCCTGTACACTGAGATTTAAATCCATACCAAACTACCAGCATTTAGTAATCTTACCCACAGAACCAATAACTGGTGCATTTAAATACAAAGGGGCTGAAATAACTCGGTGCAGAAATAATCCATAAATAGTTCAATAAAAAATTGGGAAGTATTATACCTACAGACTAAACAAGTTCAAATACTAACAGTCTGCCAAAAATAAATAAAAGTTATCAAAACTAAAAATAGAACAAAAAATTTCATTCTATAAATACTAAGCATGTAAAATTCATACATTATCCCATCTAATTTATTTTTAACATTTAAAGCCTAAATATAAAATTAAATTTTAGTAAACTACAGCATGTTCTATAAGTTAAATTTTTAATAAATAACAGCATGTTCCATAAATACGGATAAAAACCAGCAAAATGGCATATCAACATGCAGATTGCATTTTAAGAATTATCACAGAAGTTTTTCTTTTTTAAATGCATAATTCAGTTTAAATCTTCAACAAATGATACAGTATCATGAAAGTTACAATAGATGGTTAAGATTTATTGTCATTTAAGTCTCTTGTTTACAGTTTTTCAATTTCAGTAGAGAATCATCAAATATGACTTCCAATATACTATTTTATTGCACTTCAGGAGATTTGAGATTTAAAACATTTTACAATTTCTGTGCATAAAAAACTAAAAGGTTTTTCTTCAGAACTGTAGCAGAGGACAACTGATTCACTTTATCTCAGACCGATTAATACTGTAAAACTTGGAACGTATTTCCCCACCGATCATGAAAGAGCAATTTCTGACAAACAGCCTGTGCAATCATTCCGGCAGAAGTTTGGAACAACAGATTTCTGTTTAATTATTTCTTCATTAACTCAATGTCATATAAATTAGCTTGAATAGAAGTAGAGTCACTTTGCTGCATAGTACTTTTTATGCAATTTTGCCATCACAGAATCTTTCAATATTTTAAGTATAATGAGTGCAATTAATTGCAGTTGCCACTGAAACATTGATGGCAATGGTTCTTTTCATTTGTTTCATTTCTTTTAGATATTTTCTAGATATTGTTTGAGTTTTATTACAGTATTTTCTTCAAGCATCTGGCAAAGGTACTTATAATGGAATCTTGCAAGACATTTTCTATTCTGTATGTAAGTGTATTGAGTTAAATACACTTGAAGATACTGCCAGAATGTTGCTAGAGTGAAAATAGATATGGAGTAAGAAATAATAAAAAATTAACTTTTTTCCCATAATGTGTGTATAAGTAACTTCATGGATAGAACTGATTCAATAGGGAAGGAAAGGGAAAGAAAGAAGCTAAATGAGGTTACAAACATTTTCAGTCAATTCTTTTAAGGTGAAAAGACAATAACAAGCTAGGTAAGAATTACCAACTTTGTGAATAGTGCCTCTTTTCTTTTAAATGAATTTTTTTAGGTTAAGAAAGCAATAATTAAGAAAATATGTAATGTCTTAAATCAGACTTAAAAGTTAAAGTATTCATAATATTTTATTGTTCATTTGAATCCAAATTTATACACATCCTTGGCAAGAAATGCACAATAAATGTCTTCTAAAATACTTAAAAAGAGCAAGGATGTATGTAATATGATTTCTACAGAATTGTGTCAAAAGATCATCAAATCTAAAACTTGTAAAAATGTCATCTAATTTCATAGTCTGTAGTTAATCTCAAAAGAAACTCGATTTGATAATAAAAAATTTACAATTTCGTTGTAAAGAATGATAATTTAAAGCTCTTTAGTGTTAACCACAACCCTACGATTAATAGCCAAATATTCTAAACATTTTCGTGTTTGCACAAAGTTCAATTATATAGCTGTTTATTAAATATTTACCAATTTGTTAAAACTTAAGTCAAAGAAAATTTGTACCTTACTTTTGATTTATATGGATCTTAGGAGCTTATATTGAAGTGAAATGGAGGGAGCTCTCTATCTGCAGAATTACGGCATACTACCAGAAAATCGAGAATGCGAAATTTCACACTTTTCGAAGCTACACATCAGCGAAGATAACATCTATACATGCCAATAAGATATTAGAATAAGTGTAGAAAACTGGTTCAAAGGAAGTCCAATAACATTCACAACAGTTTTGCGTTTCATATACTGCCCACACGAAGAACTTAACATGGGTGAAGTTCTGCAAAAGCAACTACGAATGACCAATAAAACAGGAGTACACTGGAATCTCTGGAAAAGCTGCCTTGAAATAAGGGCAGGAGAAAAGGAGAAAAGCAACGACGATAGACGCATTGAGATAGATGAAACCATGTTCATGTGATGCAAAAAATAAAACTAGAAGAACTTTACCACCACAGTAACATATCAGGGGTGGGGGGAGCATTTGCCACGAAAAAAAGCGAAAAACAATTCTTATGGTCTCCGATCACAGTGCCACAACACTAATAAACGAACTTAAAAAGAACATTAAAGAGGGAACAACCATTTTTTCCAGCTGTTGAAAGGGGTATAAAAGAGATGAAAAATCTGGATATATCCATTGTAAATTACAAATATAATTTCATCGATCCTGAAATTGACACACACACACACACACACACAAAATATGGAGCACATATGGAGAAGTGCTAAATGGCAAAAGAAAAAGCACTGTGAAGTAGCTCACCACAATTTTCTCTGGAGGTAAAGACATGCTGAAAATGATATGTTTGACACTGTCCTAAAAACAATCATGAAATATTTTTTGCCAGAAACTAAAATGTGACTATATTCGCCAATGGGGTGCATTTAATATGAAAGAATCAAATTTTATAACTTTGATGCACAAATGATTTTCAATTTATAATAATTTTTAGTTTCGGTTTTAATGATTACAATTACTTAACGTAATAAATAATTATATTAAATATTTCAGCATCGTAAACATATGTTAACATTTAAAAGTTCTTGAATAAAAAGAATCAGCATTATAGCAAGCTAAATGAAATGCTGTATTTATATCAAATTTTGCCATTTTATACTAAATAGCCTGTTTATGCCGAAACTTCTTTTCAAATGAGCACATTAAGAAGTCATTAAATATGCTTATTCATTGTGCACATCTTCCTTCCTTAAAAATTATCCATTACATTATTTAAAACACTCGCTGCATGTTTGTAAAAACAAAATCTGCTGATGAATTTCAGCCAGTTTATCATCCCCCCCCCATTCAAGAAAATGTTAAATAACTGTATTTCGCATAAACTGTGCATTTAATTTTTTTATATTAGAAACACATATTAAATATATGCACAGCAAGAATGTTTGGAAAATCAATACTTTGAACTATAAAATTCCACGGCAGATAGCTCAAAAACACAGGAGTACAGAGACTTGTATGCTGCTCATTCTTGATTACTTGAAATTTCACTTAGATGTTTTTAATACCTTTTACAACTAAAGTATCCATTAACATTAATGTATGTTTCATTCATTTAAACATGTTTGTGCAAAAGGTGCATTACTCATTTGGATTTGTTCTTTCAAGGATTAAATTAAAGATGAAGATCACCTAAATGACCCTTAAAAAAAAAAAAAAAAAAAAAAAAAAAAAAAAAAAAAAAAAAAAACCCATAGAAAACCAGATAGGTAAATTTTAGGTTTTTGCCTTTGATTTAGCTTTGAAATAATACAAGAAGCAATAAATAAGTCTGCTCTGTATACGAGTATTGATATTTTGCAACAACAAAGATTATCTTATTTTTGACATAAATCTATGCTATTAGGAAAGTTTTCAACACATGCATCGACATTCCATGCTGACAGAATTGCTTTTTATGCCATTAAAAACTACTTTTGTTTAGTTATTTAGTAGTATTTTTCCCATTTCCTCATTATGGTATTTTATTATACCCCCTGATCGGTGAAAGTAACATATTTAAAAAATACTCCTCTTTCACGTTGTTTAATTATTAGATAGGAGTTTACCGCCTCTCTATTATATCTACGCCCACCAGCGGCCGAGCGGTAAAGTCGCTGAACACTGGTAGTTTGGTCCGAGGTTCGAATCCCGCGAATGGGCTGGCTGCATGGGTGTTTTCGTGGTTTTCCCCATGTATAACGTGTATACGAGCCAGTTTCCCTTAGAAAGTCCTCCACGAAGGCATCCCTCCCCTTAGGCAGATAGCCCTCGAGGCTTTGCCATAATCACACACACTATTATATCTACATAAAAATCATTTACCAGCTCTTCCTACTACACAGCAATCATCACTCGTGTAACATATAAAGTGGCCTGCAAAGCAGCTTGGGATATTTATAGTCAACATACTTATGCAAAACGACAGTTATATGTAAAAATTTAGAAAGTCTGATTTAAATATGTAGATCCATGAACATTATATGATTTTTACTCCAGCATCTTAAAAATTTCATCATTTGATACACTATATTCTTCACAGATCACAATTCACAAGAAGTTAATAGCTATGATGGCATATATACTGAACATTATCAATTTTTGTAATGGTGTTTTCTGTCGGTCAGTCCTAAGTGCTTAACATAAGATACTTATAATTACAAGAATATTTTATAATTACATAATAATATACAGTAAAATAAAGTTATGAAAATTTATCCAGAGCTCTTACCGAGTAAGATGTCTGCTATCTTCGTGAACCTCCATTTCCATACTCTTAAACTCATTTAACTCCTTTCGTATAGCTGCCTAGAAATTCAGTAAGAGCTAATATATACATTTATTTGTAAAATGAAAGATGCATTTTAGCAATTTGAAAAAAAAAAAAAAAAAAAAAAAAAAAAAGCCTTGTCAATAATCTAGAAAACGTAATTAAAATTGGTTATTTTATGAAAAGTATGCAGTTAAACGACACTTAAGAAAAAAGTGTCAAAATAATTGCAATATAGTTTGCAATCAGTTTAAATCCAACTATAAAACAAAGTAAAGAACTGTTGCACTTTTAACCCTTCGGTGGCTTTGGGATATAAGTGTTTCTTCCCAAATAAACACATTTGTCAGTCCTAAATGCAAGTAGTATTTGTTTGCGTCCACTGCAGTGGGTAACTGAAATGAGATCTGAACTTGCGGATGATTATCAAAAGGTTAAAGCACATACTTATTTTTAAAGCTGTTGTGAGAATGTTACTGGATGACAAGAAATGATCCAGCTAGTTTATTTTCAGCAAACAATATCTGGTACCATGCTCCAGGGGGAAAAAATAAATAAATGGACTGATCATCTATATAGAATCTTCAGAGCCTTAAATTCATTCATTTTATAAGGAATATATTCCATGATAAAAGGATATTTTTGCTTAAAAGTTCTTAATTGCCATCATATATTAAATTCAATTTGTGTTTTATATGAAACAGTTCTTTATAATAAAGATGGCTTCAGTCAACCATTAAATGCATCTTATGATGAGAAACAATACAAAGAAATCAAATTCTGACCAAATTCTTGAGCACAAAAAGAATTATTTAAGATTATAACTTTTCATTTTATTATAAGATTTCTAAAAATATGCAAGCTTCAGCAAAGAAATTTATTTTTTGTAAACTCAAAACAACAATTTCATAATCATCTTCAATACAGGTGAGCCTAAATTTTTAGTTCAAACCCTTGCTTTTAACTTCTATGCATAAAGGCTGCTTTTATCTGATCGCAAGATTATCATTTAGTATGTGTTACTGTATTATTCAAAATATTCTTTTAATGATATAAATAGCATGCTCATGACTGGGCAGTTATGAAAACAAAGAATAAAACAGGTAATAGAGTACAAAGTCCGAAATCCGGACTCATCGGGACCTCGGAATCCGGATTTGGGATTTTTCCGGATATTAGATCAGCTTAAATCTAGTAAGATGGCATGTAGAAATTACAAAATTAAAAATATGAAATAGTGATTTATGAAATAAAGTATTTATGATCTAAAGGGTATCAAAATTTACAAAAAAAAAAAAAAAAAAAAAAAAGCTTAATATTTATTTGTTTACCTTATTAAACATTTCTTTTAATTAAAGTTGTTTAAGTTGCTTCAATTTTTTTTGTGCTACCACTTTCTCTCTAATTCTGTAGACAGACAATCTCTTGTTCAGTTACATTGTTGAAGTCCTGTAACTGCTGTTTTGAAAATTCAGACTAACTTGTCAATCGGAATTTTCTCGTTTTCAGCAACTTCTCTGTCACTTTCTTCACTATCGGTAGTGGTATTTTCTGGATCTATATCCATACTACAGATTTTGCCATTCATTAATTGATTGATGATCGAGAAGTATTATAACCACAATGAAACACTGACCCTGTGACATTCTTTTTTGGTGTGGCCATACAAGCCCTGGCACTAATTCTGGATTTTATGTTTAGAGTATCAAAAAAATTTATTTTTAACATATGGAAAGAAATGTTTGGTAAATGTTTTCTCTGCGACATTTTTTAGCGCATTTAACTTAAATCTGTAATCATCGCTAAACGTAATGTCAACATAAAAGGTTACCATACTCCTTTATTATTCAATTACTAACATAACAAAATTGTTTAGGCATTGCTACATGAGTCATTCCTCGAGTTGTCAAGTTTTGACAAACATTTGGTGATGAAAGGAAAGTATAATAAATAATGATTCTGTAGGTTGGCGTCAATTCAATACGATGTACAGGGTGATCTTTTTTAAAGTGACGGTGTTTGCAGCGCCTTGTAGTGCGATCCAATAGCCGAAATGGCACCCAACTTGGTATTTAGACTAATCAAGACATGGGAAAAAGGATTTTGTGAAAAAAATTTTTAGTTCCAATAATCGCCGCTAGGGCATTTTGTGGCGCTGCTGTAGCTTACAAAAACGAGAATTAGCATGAAACACGGGTATCAGAGAAAAATGCAAATGCTGTGCGATGACAGCGCCAGTAATAGGGGTTATTAAAAGCAAGTAGTAGACAGCTCCGACAAATACCGTATTTGACGGCATATAAGACGCACTTTTTTTCCTAAATTTGGTCTCGAAAAAGTTACCTGCGTCTTATACGTGAACGACACAGGTTAACTTTCAATGATGAATGCTTTTTTTAGCCCGGATAAAGGTCTAGACACACATAACTTTTTCTACATCTGCCATAATTATTTTGTGCATGCGTGAAATATCTGTTGTCAAAAAGCGCCAAAGCTCGAAGCTGATGTCGAAGTTCGAACAGGTTCGACGGTCACATTACGTCTATGGAGCCTTTCCTTCTTTACATAGATTTTCCTTGACTCAGCCGACACATGTGTCGGTATCGGTGCTACTCTGTATAAACGTGTAGTATCAGTGCTTAAAACTATTTGTTTTAAAAAAATACCCTGGAAAATAAGACTACAGGAAACAAGAGATTTAAGCTATACAATTCAGTATAAACTAGGAGTGTTAAACTACGCCGAAGTGCATGGAAACAGAGCAGCAGCAATGCATTTCAGTCCACCACCTACCGAAAAAATGATACGTACTTGGCGACTGGAGGAAGATCAACTGAAGACTGCTAAAAAATCAAAAACATAACCTTCGATGCCCAGCTCCATCTTGGCCTGAACTTGAAAATACCGTAAAAATGTGGGCGATAGATAAGAGGTAATATGGGATAAGTGTTTCAACCAAAATGATAATCAATGAGGTAAAAGGATTTGCAGAAAAACATGGGAAGCAGAACTTTTCAGGGTCTGAGGGCTGGTGCTACAGGTTCATAAAAAGGCAAGGCTTATCAATGCGCACAAAAACTACTATTGCACAGAAAATGCCAGCACATTATGAAGAAAAAATACTAGCATTTCATATGTTTGTTACAAATGCACGCAAGAAAACTTGCTTTTGAGGTTGGTCAAACAGGAAATATGGATGAAATTCCACTCACATTTGATGTACCATCCAACAAGACTGAGTATTAAAGGGTCTAAATCAATAATCATAAAAACCACAGGTCATGAAAAAACCCGATATATGGTAGTTCTAACATGTTGTGCTGATGGCACAAAACTACCGCCATTTTTCATATACGAAAGAAAAACTTCCAACGAGTGTAATTGTTCATGTTCATCTGAAAGGCTGGATGGACGATGCTCGGATGAAACTGTGGTTACAGAACGTATGGGCGAGGCAACCTGGTAGACTCTTAAGAAAACCCTCTCTTTTGGGTTTAGATCAATTTAGCGCCCATAGAACTGAAACCATGAAGAATAAAGCGAGAGAATTAAAAACCCAGATAGCTCGCATTCCTGGTGGACTGACAAGCCAATTGCAGCCTTTAGATGTATCGGTGAATAAGCCATTTAAGGAAAAAGTGCGAGAACAATGGAACAAGTGGACAGGAGAGCCACATCACGCCCTCACACCCTCAGGTAGAATGAAGCGGCCCACTATTTCCCAAGTGTGGAAGTAGGTAAAAAAATCTTGGGAGGATGTACAGGCTGAAGTAATTGTTAAGACCTTTTAAGAAGTGCGGAATCAGTAATGCTCGATGGAACAGAAGACGACACATTATTTGAAAAAGGCGATAATAGCGATGACGGAAACAGTAGTGATGACGATATTCTCGTTTTCGATGATGATGATAAAAAAAAGGATTTTTATGGTTTTGAAAGTGATTAAAGTCTAATTTCATGATAGGCAATGTTTTCCTTGAATCTGTTTTTTGTTGTTTCTGCTTTATTTTGTATTATGTTTGATTGCTTGCCGTTCATTCATTTATTCATTATTGAAATTTACATATTATGTTCAAAATAGCTTGTTTGTTATTCCACAACTTCAGCAAAGAAACAGTCTCCAACAGACAATTTTTATGCAGGATGGTGCTCCACCACACATTAGTAATAAGGTAAAGCAGCTGTTGTGCCAAAACTTCACTGATGATAGTCATAAGTCGCAGTTTTCCAGTTGCAGGGCTGCGTCGTTCCCCTGACCTCACACCATGCGATTTTTGGCTCTGGGGTTATTTGAAATCTCGAGTTTACGTTGGTGGAGTATCACTGAGAACGGTGCTCACATTGAATGTGATCTCACCGGGGAACTTAATGTAGTAAATAAACATTAATAATTTAACTGTACAATTGTATGTCTTGATGTCCCATGTTTTGATTAGTCTAAATACCAAGTTTGGTGCCATTTCGGCTATTAGATCGTGCTACAAGGCGCTCCAAACACTGTTACTTTAAAAAAGATCACCCTGTATGTATGTGGAATGTTTCAGTTTGAGATGTGTGCCAAGCAATGGAGCCAAATTACTAATCGTACAAATTTATGGCATCAAATCAATACGATGTATGTATGTGGAATGTTTCGGTTGGAGATGTATGCCAAGGAATGGAGCCAAATTACTGATTGTAGAAATTTATGCTAAAATGATTGTTTCTTCAATAACAATGCATTTTATTTAATGTCAACGTGAAATTAAGAATCAGGACTCTCCAGATGTTTTATTACGCGCTGAAGGTGAGGGGGTAATAAAGCCTACAAGAAAGCATTATTGGTGGTTTTAAGAATGGATGTCTATATTTTGGATTTTGTACTCTTACAAATCTAGTTAATAAATTCTGATTAACTACAACTATTTGTCAATATATTCAAAAAGCTGCAATGCTCAGAATTAATGAGTTTATTTTGTTTTATATATGTATTCATCTTGAACAACATAATTTTCCTTCTATAATAATGATGCCTTATGGCTTGTTGCCAAATTTTTCAAATGCAATCAATGGCTAAATTTGTAACAAGTAATTTTAAAATATCACTGAAATTATATGTGGTAGCTGCTTTAATAAGAAAGTGCCACAAAAAATCATACATAAACCTAAAAGTATGTTTGTATATGTTGCTGAAATCAACTAGTCAAAGTGACTGACTAAAACAAGGATCATGAATATACAATCAAATTGTTATGTTATTTATCTTCAGAAAAAAGTAACTATATACAAAACTCTCACATTGAGAATAAATAAATAAATCATGAAGAAAGATACTGAAATGTCAAATACAGAAACTGTTATATATAACTCATGATCTTAAGATAATGTAGTTTGAAACAATATAATAAATTAATATTTTTACATAAAACTTTAAATACTTCCACATAAACAGTTCTATTAAAATAAAAATCAGTTTTGTACTCGTAAATCTTACAAAACAATTATTATACAATAAATTTTAGCTAACCTTATCTCTAGGTGTGAGTCTAGTCCATGGCTTGTCAGCTCTTCTATCATAATCTTGAGCCTGTGTAACTTCCACATAATCATTAAAACGTATAATTTTTCGCTCTTTGAGTTCTTCTATTGTAGGTCGAAAACTCAGCTGCAACCAAAAAAGTTTATTCATGGCTCATTGTGTAGTTTTTTTTAAAAGAAATATGTATCACAACTTGCTATAAATTAAATAATGTATAAAGCTTAAAGGAATTGTTAAATGAAAATACATTTTCCAGCTCTCTTTTCCAGAACATCGTGATTAAAAGTTGTGTGAATCAGTGAAATTTTCAGATTACAGGTCATGTCTTCGAGTTAATTTGCATTTCTCCCTTTTTAGTTTTTATAGTAAACCTGACTTTTTACACATACAGAACAGAATAAAACACATCCATACGTTATGAGCTACTTAATCAAAATTGATTTAATATAAAACTTACTTTAACTTACAAATTAATCATAAACAAAAAAATACCAACAAAAGTGCAGAGATAAAACAAAGGAAATTTTGGAAGGGAGGTAAAACACTTTCTATATAAAAAAAATTACACACTGACGTGCCGAAAACATTATGACCATCCCTAAGCATATTTGACAGATGGCAGACTGATGGCGCGAAGACTTGGAACATGCATCTCTGAAACTGCACGACCGATAGGTTGTTTACAATCTTCTCCTTTTTACCAAAAAATTCATTTTTTGATTTATGCTATATTCCATCAGTCGTAATGGCTATTATTAGCAAGAACAATTTTTTGCTTTTATTAACTTTTTTCTTTAAATAAATGCTTCAGAAGAACAGTTTGTTTCACCTATTAATACATCTTTGAAAGTCCAGTGCAATTACTAGTTTTATAGTCTACTTACATGATAATCCCTAAAAACCCAATTAATGACACCAGTGACACAACTGCATTATAATCTGACAAAAGCATTTAAATACATGAAAATTAATATACACATGAATTCCAAGCTGACAGACAAGCGTTAATAGTTACTGGAAAAGATAGCTGCTCATTCACTTAGTGTGAAAATGGGTCAAAATACCATGACAAAATTTTATAACAGAATCTTAAAATATTCTGCTGAATCATTACAACAAGCAAAAACAATGTATATGACTGCTGGAGGAGTTAAAGCAACAAGAAGCAGGGTAATATTCAAAAATTTGCAGGCTTAGTTTTGAAAGTTTAAAAACAATCTTTAGTTGCAGAAATGCAAATGAATTTTGCACATCATTTGCACTACTGTAGCTGAAGAAGGTTCTGAGTATGGATGCACATGGTAAATTACTTTTATATAATTACTGCCTTTACTTTTATATAATTACTATTTTTAAGGCAGCAATCTGTAAATTAAATCATTGTACAGTTTGCAATAATTCCAACTATAAAATCTCTTACTTTTCTGATTAAAGTGTTTTTCTTTTGTTCTTTTTCTTTCCTTAGTTCTTCAGCTGACTGATCTGAAAGTTTCAATTCTAATGTAAACATTATGTTTTAATACATTAGATGTATGGAAATAATTTTCATGAAAACTGACATCACTCCTGTATATAACAAAAACGTTTTAAAATAAACAATCCACTCACATTTTAGAATGTTTCTCTGTTCAAGCTCCTCAGGTGTTGGTCTTAAACTAAGACGCCTACAAAAACAAGTGAAATTAAAAAAAAAAAATTTTTTTGATAACAATTTAGTTATCTTTTTGTTATCAGGCCTGGATTCAGAAATGTACATATGTATATGCACATATGTATGGATGTTATGTATGCATGTACACACAGTATACACAAAAATACATACTTATACACATATATACATGAACACATCCATAAATGCATGCATACATACATTTTTGAATACAATCTCAATAACAGAAGAAAACCCCAATTTATAACAAATTTATTAAATAGCTGAATTTCACCTATTACCTGATAAGCTTTTTCCTCACATCCTCTTTTGTTTCTTGACTTTCTTGTTCAGAATGAGCAATATAAATATTTTTATCAATCAGTTCCTGGATGTCAGGACGTTGAGCTAGTTTCATGGCTAGGGAGTCTTTGCGAGCTACTTTAGCAACTTGCTGGCCTGTATATTTACAAAAAGGTAAGAATTCTAAGACTAATTTATCAAGAAGTAACAAGAAGAAACTCAACAGTAAAATAACTTAACAAGACTTGTTTTTACACAATAAATAAACAGTAAAAGGCAATACTATTTAATAAACACTTCCTGTAATGTAATAATACTGAATTTTAAGCATATATTCATCAACAGTTTAATATCAATTTTAAATGTGATCTCCCTTGGCTTTCTTTATAAAAAACACAACTATTAGACAACCATACGGAACGTACACTGTGTCTGTTAGTAAAACATCAAAAATTTAAACTTAATATTTGATATCCTATCATACTAGTTTACCAAGTAATTCAAGTTGAAAATGCATATTAAATATAACATTGTTTTTATGAGCTCTATAAGCATGTTTTACATTACTTCGTTAGTGCCAACTATCGCCATTGTTTGTTACAACCATTTTTTCAGCAGTTTTTAATGGTATGTTATCAACTCAGTTTATTATTTCCTTTATTCCAGATTTATATTTTTCATTTAATTTCATAATTTAAAACTTCAAATGTTCCCGAGCACTCTTTTCAAAAACTAAGAACATTTAGAACCTGATTTATTAGAATCAGTTTAATTGGAGCAACAGCTACAAGAATAAATTGCACCCAAGAAAAAGATATAAAATCTCTAATTGCCTACTCCTCATATGCCACTAATACCAATTTGCACCAATAGTTGCCCGTGGCAGCTGTATAATCATGTGCAATATACATTTGTTGGTCTTCTTTATTGTTAAGAAAAGGCATTTGAAGAATATAAATAAAGAATAATAGAAAGATAATAGAATATAGATAATAAGGCTAAGTAATTTTTAAAAAGGTAATATTTTGAGTTGCATCTCTTGAAAAATATGATAATGATTAATTTCCTGAAACAGCTGTATGAAGATCCAAGATTTAGAAAATGCAAGATTACATTTCATAAAAGCTCAATTTAATCCACAGACTAGCATCTCCAATATGTAACTCAAAATTGATTAACTTGCATTTCTCAGTAACAGTATGAGACTCCATATGAAACTAACATCTTCTCTCCTTAATACATCCGAGTCAGAATCGAGATATAATAAAAAAAGTGTAACTTTTCTTTAATTTAAAGCTTGGTTTCTAGAGATAATATTAATCATCTAAATTAGTTTATGAACATATGAAAACATAGGAACTTTCTTTAACGGTCACCAGCACATTCAGTTTAAATAAATCTGTAACATGCTATAAGGACTTGAAGGAAAATCAATAAATTTTTGGTAAAATGTAGTCTTGGCTTATAATCAAAAGACATTAATGAAATACAACAATAAATCGTCACTTGTTGACTGGCATAAAACACCTATATAATTGCCTAAATATAAAGAAAACTACATGCAATACATGTAGTACCTTAAATAACTCATCTCCCCCATCTAATAATTTTATTTAGTCTTACTTTATTGGGAGTGCAAATAAGTCTCTGCCATTTAAAAAAAAAAAGTTCCACTAGGAAGTTAAGTTTAAAATTGTCTCATATAAAACAATGTCATAAGGTTGGACATCTGTTAACACAACCTTGAAATATTACAATTTTGTATCAGTATCATATTTTTACTCCCTACAAAAACGTAAAGATTTGAGTCGAATGAGCATCATTTGCAGGAAATTCTGATTTACTTCTTTAATTTGAAGAAATCTGCAGTTGAGGCACATTGACTGCTGATAGAAGCAAATGGTGAGGTTGTCCTAAGCGAGAGAAGTTGTCATGAGTGGTTTCAAAAGTTTAACATTGATAAATTTGGCATCGAAGGCAAAAAATGGAGTGAAGTATGAAAGTGTACACGTAATTGAAAGCATTGCTGGATTAAGATTTGTGCCAAATGCAGTTAAAATATGAACTTGCATTAGAAGTTACTCAACAAGCAATGTCACATCATTTAAAATAATTGGGAATTATTCAAAAGCAAGGATATTGGGTTCCACACGAACTGAAGCCAAGAAATATTGAATGGTGACTTTTACACATGAAATGCTGCTTGCCAGGCATAAATGAAAGTTTTTTTGGGGGGGGGGCATTGTATAGTATCTAGTGATGAAAAATGGATATACTGCGATAACCCAAAGAAGAAATCAAGGGGACCACATGGCAATGCTTTAACACATCCACAATAAAACCGAATATTCATAGGAAAGAAATCATGTGTATAATGTGTATCAGGTAGGATCAACTCGGTATTATTAGTTGCTCAAACCGAATAAAACCCTGGAGCTCTCTCTCAAACACAATTTATGAGACTGAGTACTGAAAGAAAAATGTGCTTATTCCTACTCCAAATATGACAAAATTATTCCCCTGCATGATAACACTCATCCACATGCAGTGCCTGACAAAACCTACTCAGAAACACTCATAGAAGTTCTGCTGTATTCACAAGACACTGCTCCTTCCAATTATTACTTTTTATGATTGATGATACATGGCATGTCGCAGCAGCACTTCATATCATATGAAGATACCAAAAACTAGGTTGATTTGTAGATAGCCTCAAAAGGTGCAATGTTCTTCCGACAAGGTATTTGTATGCTGCCAGAAAGATTCCAAAAGTAATAGCTAGCAATGGACAAATACTTTGAATAAGACATACCATTCTTTCACAATAAATGACTAATTTTTGATAAAAAATATCAGAGACTTATTTGTACTCTCGATATAAATGCTTTTAGGTCACAGAAAATGTTAACACACAATGCATAATACTTCTCTCTATCTATAAATTGTATATTTTTTCACCGAATTTTATAATTATATTTTGATTGTTTTTGTATACTAATTATTACATTGCTCTACAATAAGAACATTTCACCTTTGTTTTATACTATGTAACAATTTCATTTCTATATACTAAAAATATTTTGATTTCATATTGATTATAACAAGACTTTCAACTGGTTAAAATTCCTGATGATTCAACAGTATTTACAAACTTCTCTTAAACACTTTTAAACTGAACTTCAACTCCATTTCTAAACTATATAATATTTTATTATATTTCTATACGCTTTTCTATATTAATATACGAGAAATCATAAAACAAATGATCTACCATACTAAAACCTTAACGATATGTCCCCAAAGCACTTCATTTGCTTTCTCATTACAACTTTGACTATTCTACAAAATTTCTCTTTGATAAACTAATGCTTTCTTCTTAAAAAGACTTTTCTTTCAGTAAGCCTTTTTCTCCTTTAAGTTAGGAAATATGTAAAATATCAAAATAAAAAAATTATTGTGAAATTAAACTTAATTGGAATGGGCCTTTAAATTCTCAACTTTAACTGCATGCATCAAGGCTCGATAATGTACCAAGTTATATCTTTTGCTCAATCATGACTCCAGATTAAAACAAAAACTTTCAAGCTTATAACTATAACTGCTTATAACTATTGCAAGCTTATAACTATTACATCATTCTTTTGCTGCTTGCTCTGCCTAGGAAAGTCACGTCTCTTCACCAAGCTTCTTTTTTTATCTAAACTGCATGCATAGAAATTGTAAGGCACATTTAGTTAATTACCAGTAATGTTACTAATACTCACTAATGTTCTACTAATTACGCAAAAATGTATTTTCAAAAGAAGTGTTCCTGTACAAAATAAAAATGACATTTTAGCCATAAGTTAGTTGTGATTTTCTTTCTAGTCAAATCTACGTAGCAATTTTTCTTGGCCATGACTAAAAAAGTGACTGGTTTCATCTACTCTAGTCACCTCTCTGCTATGATACATCAATATACAACTGAGAACCTTTAAAATATCACATATTCTGATATACTATATCACACCCTCAAATATCACATTGATATAGTACAGGAAAATACGCTTAAAACTTAATTTAAATCCACTAAATATAATTTTGGAAGAAAACATACATTGTGTGCTTTAATATAAGATTCAGATTATATATATGAAGTGTCAAAAGAGTATTTTTATAAGAAATGAGGCTCATAATTATGAGCAACAATATTTCTCCATAAATAAAATCTGGCTCGCCATATTTGTCTCTATCCTTTTATAATGCCCCAAATCACAAAATAATTTGCACATTTTAAGGATTTTAAGGACATTTTAATGGATTTTCCAAGACATGGAACAGTTTAACTTAAAAACAATAAAAGTTACAATTTGACACTTGATTAAACAAATAGGGTTGCCAAACATTCTCTTTTTAGAAAGGACAGTTCTTTAATCAGCTTTCTTGTCCTCATCCTTTTTTGAATTGCCAAATGTCTTTTATTTCAAAATTGAAAAATGTCTTACACCTGAATAATAGGATTTGGCATTATAATTTGAATTGGTATAAGGAGGGGTGATAAACTTTTCGCAGTTAAGCCTCTCATTTGCTGCAATTTCCACCCAGTACATAGTTTTACTAGCACAGTAACACAATGAAAGGTTGCCATATATTTGTTAGTTTAATATAAAGTAGGGCTGTTTCCCCTTTGTCCAGTCGGAGCACTTTCTGCCATTCGAAGATTATTTTGCCACAATCATTTTGGCTGAGAAGATTAAATTACCTTACAGTTGGCAGCATTGTTTAACAGTCACTCTTCCTCGCAAGTTTAAATGTTGAGTGTTTTGTTTGCATTTGTTTCATTCATTTTAAAATATTTAATGAGCTTAGTAAATACATAGAATATTTACTTTTTTTATTAAATCATTGTACACACACTTTTTTCGCAAGTTTAAATGTTGAGTGTTTTGTTTGCATTGTTTCACATTTTATTTAATGAGTTGTAAATACATAGTATTTCATGTACACACACTTTTTCGCAAGTTTAAATGTTGAGTGTTTTGTTTGCATTTGTTTCATTCATTTTAAAATATTTAATGAGCTTAGTAAATACATAGAATATTTACTTTTTTTATTAAATCATTGTACACACACTTTTTATGTTTGTCACATCTCACTTTGTTATGTGCTGTTATTTCAATAAATAAATTATGGAACCAATAAGAAAAAAAGACCAAGTATTGTGTTTGTATAACAAAAGTCGGAAAAAGATTACGAGTGGTTGGCAGAAATGAAGCAAAGCATAAAAGATTTGTCAAAGAGCTTTTGTAATTGGATATATATAGATGTTTCAGCAGAGAGCATAAAGAATCCAACTGTCATAAAAAAGCAGTACATCATTATGCAGAAAGAATAAGATATGCAAATGCTCAAATATGCCATGCAGTTAATCACAATTCCTACATTGAATGAACTAGAAAAATGATAAATATCAATTTTGTTTTCAAAACTAGTGTTTCAAATAAAAAGAAAAAAAAAAAAAGTTTCCAGTGTGTTTTCAATATTTTAAAGCAGAATTTTGTGAAATAAGTATACTTTTTTAAAAGAAATCATATTTTGTTAAAATTTTGAAAAATCATTAAATGACAAAATACATTGACTATGCAAAGGGTTGGGATACTTTTAATGGGACGGAATATTGCTTTCTTACATTAAATTCAAACAAATAAATTTGTAACAAGTTTTTATTTTTAAGCAATAATATAATCACCCTCGTTATCAGCAACCTTTTGCCATCTAGTATGCAGATTTCAATCCCCAGATCAATAAAAATCAATTGGTTTTTGAGTAAAATATCTCAAGATGGCATTTTGGACATCATCAAAATTTTTTTGTTACTAAGAAAATGTTGTAGGGATTGGAATAAATGGAAATCCGAGGGTGCGATATCGGGCGAATATGGTGGGTGAGGCAGTACCTCCCACCCCAATTCATTATGTTTTTCCAGTGTTCGTCTTGCACAGTGTGTCTTGCAGTCGTGTTGCAGAATGACGCCTTTTCCGTTGACAATCGCCGGATATTTTCCAATTAAAGATTGGTTCACTAGATCCAATTGTTCAGAATAAAGGTCTACATTAACAGTTTTTCCAGATTTCAGCAATTCAAAATGAACAATTCCACGAATACTCCACCAAATACCCAGAAGTGCCTTTTCGGGATGTAAACCCTTTGTAACCCCTATTAAAACTGCCTTTTGAGTTTTGGATTATCATATAGGACTTATTTTTCTGTCTCCACTAATCAAGCGATCAAAAAATGGTTCTGTATGGTGCCGTTGAAGCAATACATTGCGTGTGATGGATAGGTTGGCCTTGTTCTCTTCGGACAGATTATGGGGGACTCAAACACCTGCTTTGCTTATTTTTCCATTCTGCTTTAAATGTTTTTGGTCGACCAAGGTTGGTTAAGAGTGTTTGACAGATCCTCGATTGTTTGACATTGATTTGCGTCCACTTCTGCCCTTAGCATGTTGTTGTCGACATGCGTAGAAACGACATTACTTTGGCCCCAATAATCCATAAAATTTTACATATCATCCTTGCATAACGCATGGCAGCAAACAATTATAAAAATGAAAAAATACCTAAATAATAAAAAGATGGATCTTGTTTAATTGTAGAAACCAAATTCTGAGAAATTCTCCGACCTGTACATTGTGGGAGAAAGGACAGTTCTATATCTCCCATTCTACTGGGTCGATTGACAAAATTCAAATTGCGTTTTCTCGTCTCAAAAGCGCGACTTAGGATATATATTAGATTTATATACAGCATTGTTCTAACATAGGTATTTTGACACAAAAACCCACTTTTTCTGAAATAACATACTAATTTTTTTCCATATTTCGATTCAACTATAACTCAAATTATGCCTAGATATTAAATTTTGTAAAATTTAGTGCAAAATTTACAGAGAAATTCAAAAATTTATCTTTGGGAAATTTTTTCAGTTTGAGCGAAGAATAATTCACTTGGCGAACTTCTCAATATAGGGCAACCAATTTTCCTTTCCTTTCCATTATGCTGGAGTGGGAAAAAAAGGCACCTTGTTCCTACCTTTTTACATTGTGCATGAATGGGGGAAAAGTCGCATCGTTTCTACTTCCAAATAATTTTAGCAAAGTGCTTAAACCACATCTGATGTTTCACCACTTTCAACAAATATGCCGAATTTCAAAACATGCCAATATATAAACTTGCATATATCTTCGGAAATTTTGAATAAAAAATTGTATTTTTTTGCAGGTATGCTTGGAAATACGTCTACTTTAAGATGATGGTAAAAATTTTATAGATCATAAATCAAACTTTTTTTTGAAAAATTATTTAAAAATACAAATTTTAAAATAAATAAAAAAATAAGTAAATTTTTATTTGGAATGAACCTGCACCTCAAAATGTAAAAGGAAAAGTCAAATAAGTTTAATAAAAAAGAGATTAATAAATATATACCAAACTCATGGAGCTAAAATTTTGAGAGCTAATTTTTTAAAAACTACTCCTGCGAATTTTACAAAACTTAGTAGTTTGGCGTATTTTGAGTCTTAGAATTGAAATACGGAAAAAATTGGCATGTTATTTCAGAAAAAGTCCGATTTTGTATCAAAATACAAAAATTAGAACAATGCTATATATAAATCTAATACATATCCTAAGTTGTGTTTTCAAGGCATGAAAAACACAAGTTGAATTTCATCAATCGGCCAAGTAGAACAGGAGATATAGAACTGTTTTTTTTTTTTTTTTTTTTTTTTTTGTTTGTGCACAGTGTACCTATGAAGTAGCTTTCTTTAATCTTGTAGAAAGCTTTAAGTTCTCATTTTTTATGCAGAACAACTGATTACTCTGATTAATTACTCAATTTGTTTTTAACTGATGTTCATTCTTTATAAATTGAATAAATTATTGAAATATACATATTGTTCTCACAACATTTAATGTCAGTACTGATCTTAGCTGTTTCACTAGAAAATGAAACTTCTGCTGCAGATTTTTCAATCTTTTGACCAACTACATAAACTTAAACCTCCACATGATTTATTTTTTTATTTTTTTTTAAATTGAAAGAAATAAGACAATGCAGAATCTCAAGAGACTGTCGATGACTTTAAATTATAACCTGAGCAATGAAACTCTACATTTAGAAAATTGTCAGTTCTAAGTCTGTTGCATAATTAATTTCCAAAACATCAAAAAATGTGTTTAAGTTATTGAAGAATGAAAGCTAAAAGAAAAGCTGAATTTGAATACAGATGATCTTTGCGATGAAGTAACATTAATTCAAAAAAAGCTTTCGACTCTACTTGAAGTTCTGAGCATTTTAAAAAATCCGAAAAGTAGCAAATGATGCGATGTAAAAAGTGTAGGTTATAAATGTATGGATATTTTAAGGATTCATATGCATTTTCAATTCATGCAAGATCAGCATACTGTAAAAGAATTTTTACTGTTATATCAACTAAATGTGGATACGAATGAAATAGTTGTTCAGTTGAATTCTTCAAAAATGAATTCTTTACATATTTCAACTTAAAAGAAAGTTGTTCAGAGCTTGGCGAAAAAATAAAATGATGGACATGTGCTTTAGTCAGCCAAAAACCTTAAAAAATTTATATCAGCTTAGAAAATTAAAGGTTTGTTTCAAAAGTTAAATATTTTTTTAAGTTTCTCTGCATTTATTTAATTGCATTCTAATGATTATCCTCTGCATTTATTTAATTGCATTCCAATGATTATCCTAATAATACATCTTCTGCATGTTTAATAAGTCTAAATTACTAAAGTAAAAATTTGATTATTTTTAAAGTGTTAAGGAATTGTTCATTCAGGTGAATTTTAATTCTAAAATTGTATTCCAATAACTTACAATAATACTAAAAGGAATTAATACAAATATATTTTCAATCATCATTTATTGCTAATCAACAGTTGACAACACTGTAATACACAGAATCACAGTTTTCAGTATAATGACTATAAAAAGCTGGTATATTCACCTGACATTCCCTACTGAGACTTACTATAAACATTTTTTCCCACTTTAAAGTACTGAAAGATTAAATTAACATTTCATACTTTCTAAAAATAACAAATGTAAAACTTACATTCCTCATCATCTCCATAATAATCCCTCCATAAAATAGGACTTTCCGATTCTGAATCAGAATCAGAATTATCTGTTGTGTTTACAGATATTGTAGGCACTGAATGGTTTTCATTGTCACCATAGGATGTATCTCCTTTATTGTTAGACCTTTAAAGAAAAATAAATTGCATGAAAACAGTTTCAGAAATTCAAGTGCCCACTCAGAAATGTTAAGATTTCAAATTTCATACCTATTCTGAACAATGGAAAGCCTCTGAAAATCAGCACAGGTAAAAGGGCCTTTCTTTTTCAGAGCACTCTTTTTGGGCATTGCTGTCAAGGGGTGTGGTTCTTTGGCAGGTATTTCCTCTACTGTAGAGGTATTAATAGTTGGATCATACTGTGTAACATAGACAACACATGGGCTAGGTGAATCAACTTCAGAATCGTCTTCAAGATCACTTGTATCATCTGATTGATCTGAAATAAACAAAAATGCAATTAGTATATATATAATGTATGTGTGTGTGATATTTTAATGCGTATTCGTCATGGCTAAGGGTAAAGGCATACAAACAAACCTAACAAAACTGAAATTTAAGAATCAGCATCTTTATTTTTACATATATCAAATCATTTCTTTGGCAGACAAATTACATTTCAATCACAGTCGAGTACAATAATTTTTATGTACACGGGTTTTAAAAGTATGATGTAAGCATCTTAAATGGGAAAGCATAACAGTGCAGTGATGTTTGCATGGCAGAAACTATGAAAAGAAATGACGTAATTGCTCACAAAGCAGTATTTATATAATTTAGGTGCATAAGTACACTTTAACTACTATTGATTAATTTTAGGTTGTTACGTAAATAAGGAAAGATCTTAAATTTGGGAGAACAGATGACTTTAAGAGAACATAAAATCTAGAATAGTCAATTTTGAGGTTGCCGATCATTTCTTAACGCAGCCATTGTATTTTATTAGATCTTGCATATTTATATATAAAGAATTTTAGAATCAATTTTACACAAAAACCAAAAATTTACACTTAAATTAAAAAACCTTATAAATATTAAAGTAAACCAATGCAAAAAAAACCAAAAATAAATAATGTAAAAGAATGTGAAAGCAGAGAAATCCAATTCCAACATCCAACTTCAGAAGGAGGATACGCAAAAATTGAATACAGTTCCTCTTCCACAAGAAAATCCTTGTTTTTCTATATCCAGAGTTAGTTGTTGAACCAGCCCAATATATTTTTCTTAATCTTAAAACTGGTCAAAAACTCTGGTCCTGCACAAAGCAAGAGAAAATGGCAAAAATACAAAGGAAAACCATTAATGAAGATTTTCCCTATTACAAATGAACCATTTCTAAAATTGAAAACTTATCCATAATATGTAGAATAAAATACCTTCAGTTAACAAAGTTTAAAAATGCAGCATTTTTTTTTTTCACCTAACACTGTGAGAACCTCATTTCAAACACCAGTTTGAAACAATGAAAATAACCATTGATTGTTTCAAACTGGTGTTTGAAAGAAGGTTCTCACAATGTTATGTGCAAAAACATTTTTGCTACATTGCAGTTTATTTTCAATTTAAACTTTGTTAATTGAAGGTATTTATTTTATGCACAATAGGTAAGTTTTCAATTTTGGAGATGATTCATTTTTAATAGGGAAGTCTTCATTAATAGTTTTACTTTTTATTTTTACCACTTTTCCTTCCTTCGGGGAAGGGCAGAGTTTTTGGGTAGATAATTCTGGATATAGAAAAGCAAGGATTTTCTTATGGAAGAGAATTCCAATTTTTTAATTGTAATCAATTTCAGCATATCCTCCTCCTGAAGACGTTATGTCGAAATTGAGTGGATTCCTCTTCTTTCATTTTCTTTTTTATACTATTTTTTTAAAGTTTTTTTATTGGTTTAATTTTTCTTTTAACACTTTCAGCATTTTAATTCTACATTTATAAGTTTTTAAAATTTATTTGAATTTGAAATTTTGATCTTTGTAAAATAATGTTTTTAAATTTCATTCTTTATGTATTTACTGATCAATTTTCAGGGGCATATTGCATGAAAATTCTTCAAATGATTTGATAATTTTTCTGTTTATGACATATATACAGTGAAATACGCGAAATATATAACGCAAAAACTCTTAAGACGAAATATCAGTTAACACGAAATAATATAATGACCCCGACAAACTACTACGCATTTTCATGCATTCCTCCCCTCTTAACACGCAATGAAAATTACTTAACACGAAGATTTCCCTTCTGAGAACAAATACGGAAAAATATAAGGAATAAATACGGAAAATACCAGTCGCTCAGGCGAGATTTAAGAGGGTGTGAAACGAAAGAGAGGTGGTTTCACATGTTTCATAGAAAGGAGGCTAACTTGGCTTCAAAATATCCTTGGAATACTGTGGCATGAGCCAATTTTTTTATCTAAGCTACTTTCACCCTCCACCCCTACAAATAGCACTCTAAAACATTTCATCTTACATCAGTTGTCTTTGGAATTCGGTGATGAGTACATCGCAGTACGTGTAAAAATCGGTCAGTTTGTTCCGCATTCCCCCCCCCCATTTTAGAAGAATTTTAAGACTACAATGGCAAACTTCTATTTTGCCTTAAATGAAGATGGAGCTTCTCAAGGCTGTTGATCAAAACCAGAAGATGAAAATGGAAATCTGTAAAGATTTTGGTATTGCTAACTCTACATCAGAGTCGTAGCTAGGGCTTTCAGCTCCCAGGGACAACTGAAGATTTCGTGCCCCCTATTGCTTGCCAAGGATGGAAAACATTTAATTCTAAAATGTCGTAACATCAGATTGGCGCCCCTTGGATTCTACACCCGGGGACAGATGCCCCCTCTAGCTATGCCACTGCTTTACATTATCAACATTTCTTTTTAAAAAAGAAAGAGAGAAAATTACGGGAATGTTTGAATGGATGAGAATGGCCAAGCACGAGGATTTAGAGAAAGCTTTACTTGTTTGGTTCAAACAAGAGAGACCTCAGAATGCTTCCATGTCATGGCCTTTAATGATAGAAAGAAGTAATGAGGATGATTAGAACGTTTCAAGAAAAGAAATGGTACTATAAAATATTACTATAAAATATTTGTTGTGAAACTAATCAAGTTTTACCGATCATGACAGCAAACTGGTTTCAGTCTACATGGCCTTTAATACTTGAATAATACGAAGTGAAAAATGCTTTCAATGCAAACGAAATTGGGTTATTTTACCACTGCTTACCCAATGAAACTTTAACGTTTAAGGAATAATCGTGTTCGAGGGGAGGTTGGGGGTGGAATTGTCTAAAGAACGGACTATGGTATTAGTAGAATGCAATTTTAATGGTTCCAAAAAACTACCTCCATTTGTTATTTGGCAAAGGTTTGAAACCGTGGTTTTTTAAGAATGTAAGAACATTACCAGTCGAATATACAACAACAAAAAAAAAAGAGAGAGAGAGACATGGATAGCAGCTACAATGTTCATCGATTAGATCGTAAAGTTAGATGAGCAATTCTTATGAGAAAAGCGTCAGATTGCAATGGTAATTGATAAGTCCAGCTCAACCCAATGTTTTACTCAAAGCTATAAAGCTTACCTTTTCACCTTTGAATACAATAAGTGTTTTGCAGCCTTGTGATCAAGGGATCATGAAATTTCAAGACAGGTGGGTGGTTCAGGGACTACATCTGGAGTCCGAAAGTTTTGTTTACGATATCAGGAGACAAATTCAATAAAAAACAAAGAAGGAAGCCGAAAAAGGTGCACCACATCTATTGATAACAGAAGAATTAAAAAGACTGTCTCCAAGACAGAAAATGTCATCAGCGGCCATCAGAAGTGATCTGAATGATGCTGGTGTTTCTGTCAGTTCAAGAACAATCTGAAGAAGATTAACAGATCTTGGACAGAGAGGTAGAATTCCACGAAAAAAAGCCTTATCTTAATTTTCAGCAACGAAAAAAAAGACTACAGTGGGCAAAGGGACACATTAATTGGACAGATGATCAGTGGTCACAAGTTATATGGAGTGATGAAACTAAGATATCGTTTTTCGGTACTGATGGGCAAAAATATGTAAGACGTAGAATAGGAGAAGAGCTACATCCTGACTGCATTCAAGCAACTGTGAAGAACCCAGTTAGTGTTATGATTTGGTCATGCATGTCAGCAGATGATATTGGTCGCCTTCATGTCATTGATGGGACACTGAATGCCAGAAAATACATTGACACTATTCTAGAACCGAAACTTCTACCTTCCATCAGAGATCTCTTTTCCAACAATTGCTTCGTTTATTTTTTCAGCAGGATTCTGCTCCTTGCCACCCGGCCAAAATATCGAAAGAGTGGTTTCGTACAAAGAACATTAAATTGTTGTCATGGCTAGGAAAAACTCCTGACCTCAATCCTATCGAAAATTTGTGGCGCCGTTTGAAAACTCTTGTCCGAATGAGGCGACCATCAAATAAAAGGGAACTAATTGAGGCTATAATTGTTTCCTGGCATCATGTAATAACGAAAGAAGAGCTTAAAACTCTTGTCAGCTCAATGAAATGTCAATGTGAAGCTGTAATCAAAAATAAAGGGTACCCTTCTAAGTACTGATAACTCACTGCAATCATCACTATCTAATGTATATCGATAACTATTATCGTTTAACTTTTTTTGTATTGCAAATAATTGAATTTTGTGTTTTGTATTGAATTCAGTAAAATTCTTTTTAAAATGATATATACAAGTTTGCATTTTGTGAAAAGTAACATTTTCTATAAGCATACAAAGTTCAAAAACATAAAAATTTCCAAAAGTGTCCACAATTTTGGCCACCACTGTATAATGTAGTAATTGAACAGAGATATAAAAATGTGAAAAAAATCAAATCATAGATATGCTGCGAGTGCTTAAAAATTAAATCTAGTGCCAGCCTTTCAAAATTAATCCAGGGTTTGTTTATTGTAGAATGACGAATGTTTTCCGAGTCCTAACATTTCAGATCATTCCAGTGCTTTCACGGTCATTAAACTGCGTATCTTAATATGGCTCTTATGCGAATAAATTAGGTTGTTCTTTCGCAGCTATAGGATTAAATTTACAATCGAAGTAGGTGTCAGAAATTTATTTTCACTTCTGTTTTTGTGTAATTAAATCTCCATTGGGAACTGATATTTTTTTAATAAATTGGACATTAAAAATGTAACCCTGTGATATGAAAAAATGTAGTTTAATAATATTACAAATTTGAATTCTAATAATTTAGAAAAGTAAATGAGTAATTCTTATATTTTTAATTATTTTTATGGAAGGCTATTGGGACAAGTTTTTGTATTTTTGAAATTTTGTTGAAAATTTTGAATACGAATTTTAAAATTATTCTAAAAATGAAGTAGATGTAAAAAATAAGTGAAATTAGTATAGGTAAGTAATATGAAATTATAGTAACTGCATGTTAAAATTTATGGGTGATTGTGTGTTACGTATAAAGTATGTTGAGGGATGTTCCTAAACAGATGCCTGTAATTACCTCTGTACAGTTGTTCCTTTTACCCTCTTCATGTAAGATAATGTGTGTGGCTCTCATTTTGTGAGTGTGTGTAATTTTTTTTATATTATACATTTTTTCATTGTGGAATGTATTAGTGCAGTTCTCAAAGGCCAACCTTATGCAAGGAACGGAGGCCTTTTCAAGTAACTGCCTAGGCACCCTGGGCCACCAGTGCAGACAACATACTGGTTAGCTCAAGAGGACAGCCCTATTGATGGATATAATTGTTTAGAAGTATTGCGAGGCCTTCCAGTTTTTCAAAATCAGGAATTGTAAATGAAAGATAATAACGGTGAAACCATAATTTCTGAAACTGTTACTCCTATTATATTTATGGTTTTAAAAATATAATTTATCAATGTGGAAATTAGTATCAAATATTTATGTGCATTACATTTAATTATAAGTAATGATTATGTAAAAGTTTTATTTTGTGATATTCTGTAATAACAAGAACCTTTCCTGAAGAAATATGATTATGTCAACTCTCAAATAAAAAGACTTTTGGACCGAAATGCTGAAAAATTCAATAGGAGTCTAAAAATGAAAAATTTATTTAAAAAAATTGATATTTATAAATTATACTTTATAGAATCAAAATTTTGTGATTTATGTTTTTTGTTCATTTGCTAGTGTTTTAACGCTTTTTCTTTAAAAAGGCTTCTGTGTCGCTACGCCTTTTTCTTCTTGAAGGGGAGATATGTAAGAAAAAGTATATGTAAAAGATTAAATTAGCAGCATAAATTAATTTCCCTTCTCTATTCTAAAAATAGCTACATCTATTGGCACTGCGTCATTTTGAGAAAAATCTATGCCAAATGACTCTTACGCAATTCTGGTGATGTAAACAGAACTAAAACTCTTAACAGCCAATAATTATTTTACAGCAATATTAACCATCCAATCAGAATGCTTTGAGAACCAAAACTAACTCAGTCTGACTTGAGATTTCATCCTGAACATTACGAACTTTCTTTCCACGCTTTGGCCTAGCTACACTGCTGTCTGCTGTTTTCTTGCTACAAAATTATCAAAAATTTAAACCTTTTGGAACAGGCACAGTTAATGTGCCGACTTTGTGTAGCTGCAACATGTTGCTGAAAATAAAACTGAAGATTTAATCTGCATTCGTCTCCAAATTCTACTCATCATTACTTCTAAGTAAATTCCTGCTCCTGAATTTATTACGTATAACAAACATTCTCAATTCGTAAAAGCAAATTTAAAGTTAATTAAATTTTAAATATTGAAATTTAATTGCAAACAAATGAATAATTATTGAATTCTAAAAAATTAATACATATGCATAAGTGACTAATTGTTGAGCAGGTTGGAGACAGACTTATCAAGGAAAAGTTGCCTCCAAACCAAACTCTTCAATGAGTGTTTCGTCATCCATGTAGACAAGGGTAAAAGTCAAAATTAAAAGTAAAACCAAATGCTGTGAATTATTAAAAAGAAATTTAAACAAGTGGAATTTTGAGAAATTAGCAAGTAACTGACTAGAATTAAAATTTAAAAAAATAAATAAAAAACACATATATGTATTTTTTTTGCAATTAACACAAAAACTATTTCAGTCCTTTCAGTTTTGTGTTAAACGATTTTCACTGGATATAATCTGTTTTTAACTAAAGTTGTTTAATGGTTCAATTAAATGCAGGAAATAACATGAATGTTTCTGCCAAGGGTATACCTTCATGAAAGGCATTCTGTAAGAACTTTTTTGCCCAACACTGTCAGTCAGTTGGTGGTGGTATTTCACCAAATGATGCAAAAAGCAACATGCCATGGATTCTTAAACAGGCTAGGTGTTCAGGAATCCTTTCCCCCCCCCCCAAGCTACAGGATTCGTACACATTTCTGAACACAAGAATTAAGTATTTTTAAGGAACATTAATGAAAAAAATACCTACGAGCAAATCAAAATAAAAAAAAAATAAAGGAAAGAAACATGTTAAGAAAAAGATTCTAGTATCAGAAGTAAAACATTCAAATATGTTTTCATTGTTCTTTCAGACATTCTCCAAAAAGTAAGAAATTCATCGCAAAATTTCTACAGAATACATCCATTACGTGTTAATACCATGAAGACATTTTTCTTTTTGTCACATTTTCTGAAATCTAGAATCGTGTGTCTATAAATCTGGCCTTCAAATCCTTTTAAACTTTCCAATTAGCCACGTTTAAAATCTAAAAAAAAAATTTTCCCCTCCCAATTCTATAACAGCAAAAAGCATAAAATATTTGAAAAAAAAATCAGAGGGAAAATGTGTAAATTTTATAGAGAAATTTCTAATTTTATAGAGAAAACTGATGCATATTCTGAGACAATAACATGGAAAAAACTTACCATGAAAGAATTAAAAAATCATTTTTAATTAATTACATAGCTGCTTTTGCTATGTAAAAGCAGCTGTTTCATAAATTGTGCTTTATATCATTATACCTTTATTCTTTAGATTCAAAATACCGTACAATATGCAGTCAAAATGGAACTTTATAATATGACAGCATAAAATAAAAATGTTTTATTTCAGTGTAATTTTTTAAATATAATTGCAATATATTACCTTTATTTATATTACTCTATTTTAACAAAATTTATCAATGTTGCAATGTTTTAAAAAATCGTCGAAAAAATCCCAGATCTCAGAAGTAAAAATTTTCTATTGAAACTGATCTTAAAATCGCCAAAATGTTGATAAGTTGCCAAATTAGATACGTTTGATAAAAATTCACATCTCCAAAAGCGAAAAGTTGTTTAAGAGCTTTTCATTAGAAAAAAATTAAATAATTTTGAAATGCTTGTGTTTTATTTCGTGCTCAAAGCTCGAGTACCCCACCATTTATATTAGAATTAGAAACAAATAACCCATGAACCTATTCAAAAGGTAACTATATTTTTATCAGTGAATCGCTAAAAATATTCCTCCAAAATGTTAATTCACACACAAAATGGCAGTCATAAAAACAGAAATTTAAGATGATTAAAATTAAGGACCTTCTGCCGATTTTCGCTGAAATGAAGGATTTTTAAGGACCAAAAATCCATTAAAACAATGACTTTTAAGGACTCTTAAGACCGTATGAATTCTGAAGCTAAAGTCAATAGTGGAACCAATATTTACAGTCTAATTAATGGTAATTTTAATAGACTGTAAATTTACCAATATTTACAGTCTAATTAATGGTATGTATGGGACTATGTAATGTCATATAGTAGTTTTCCAATGACGCAATGATTTTAATCACAAACATATGATTACAGCTGACATACCATGGCCAGATCAAATGTGTTTAGTCATCACTGAAGTACCAATACCTAGTGGGCAGGAGAATATTCATATAACCATCCCTCAGAGACTTAACAGGTTATCTCTGAGCAAGGAAAGTTTGACACTGTTCTGCAGTCAAATTTGGGTAATCTTCTGTTATTACGACCAGATTCAGAAATGCATGTATTGTTATTACGACCCAATTCAGAAATGCATGTATGCACGCATGTATATATGGAAGTCTGCAGTTATGTATACAAGGTGTCTCGAAAGGTTGTTGCCAAACTTAAGATGGTGGTCTGTCATACCATGACAAACAAGATTGAAATGAATTAAAACAGACTTTCTGAACTTTTCAAGTGTTCAATCCTATCCAACCAAGTTTCTTATTCTGCATACTATTCTCATATTACAACCAATTTAAAATTCAACTGCACTAACTTTATTTACTTTTTTAATGTATGAATTGCTTTTGATAATAAAAAAGTAGATGTATAAACAAGAAGATTTCTTTTTACACTTAATTTTCACCTTAACCCTCCAAGCAAAAAAATATATATATATACACACACACATTCAAAAATATTTGTTACAATAACTTTGTTACAAGTGTACATATCATGTATCGTGAAATATAACCAGACAATTAATATACTGGCAGAAACAGAGTTAAGGTACAAATTGGCAAGATCACTTTGGAAATTATGATCAAGAATGTACCACTTATTCATGCCTTCTTAGAAATTTTAGGGGGTTAGGACCAAACTCTTAGCCACTGGGAGGGTTAAAGTATGATATTTAAAATTATTAGATATTCTTTTAGAACATATAATACTAAGCTCATACATGTAATGTTATTTAATGCAACTTCTGTTTTTAAAAGAAACATTAAAAAAAAAGAACAGGATCATATTGTATGCAATTCCATCTTACATATTTAGGCATAAATAATATTTTTTTATGAAATATTCACCTGATACAGAGTGGAATTTGGACACCAAAAGGGGAGAAGGATTAGAAAACATGGGTGGAGGTGGGATGGGTCCGATGTCATTAACCGATATCGGAGGCTCAGGTAAAACAGAAAGGACAATTTCCCCATCATGTGAAGGCACCTCTTCAACATCTGGAAGGTTCAACAGGGAAACATTGTGTATCACAGGCATGGCTGGAAGAAGGAAAAAATATTAACAGATAATAAAATTACACACACACACACACACACACACACACACACATATATATATATATATATATGATATGAAAACTACAACAATCAAAATAAAGCTAACTTAATTTCATTCAAACTATTACAGTAAATTAAACTATACATAGAAATTACTAGTTCATAACATTAACAGTTAATCACAGGTACAGGAATTTATTTACTAATTTAGTAATTTTCAGCAGTAGAATGCATTTGAATAAATATTTTAAAAACAAGCTCAAATTTAGCATTAAGTCATTTATTATAATGCAATAAAACTTAAAGGAAATACCCTGCTTCTCAATTAACAAAATAACGTTTATACTGCTAAAAACTTACGCACCAAGCATCAAATAACCAAACCGAACATCAAAATAATTCTGCATATCTTATTTTCAGACAATACTACATCGCACATGCATATAAATTACTGGATAAAAGTTTTTTTTTTTTTTTTCAAATAAGATAAATCACAAAATTAATTTTACAACTTTGCTGATCACTGGCAATAACTAAATGCAAATTTTATCACAGACTTAACCAGCACTGTCATAAATGAGTTTCAGTAAACGAAAATTCCAAAATATTAACTTACACACATCTATATTTTGAGATGTTATGGTTAACCCAGTAGCTGTGGAGGAGTTTGTTACTAGAATGGTGCTGTACGAGTCGGATGTCGAGGATGTCACAGTTGGTGAACTAAGCTTGTCAGCTTCAGACATATCAACCTCGGACAAAAAGCCGTTAATTTGCGGAATGTGGTTCTGGAGCACGGAATCTGAAACGATTGTAGAACAACATGATCATTAGTAACATAAATTCATATAACAAGGGGCTCGAGACAGTTGTTAATTCAAAACGTTTTGATCCCTTAAAAGACGCATAAAGAAATATTAACAGCAAAAAGCAAGCATAAAAATGTTTAGAATTATTTCATTTTGTGTTGACTGCCACGTAGACAGCCACGAATCGTTCATCCAATGAGATTTTTTCAGACATTTCAGTTCAAGAGGAATCAAAATATTATATTTTCAGTGACTTCCAGACGCAGAAAATTTAAGCAAAAGAATCCAATACGACAATCTGGCAACAGTAACTGTTTAGTCTCGTAACATGAGAATCTTAAAGCAGTTCAAATGAGGAATGACGGGAAGGAAAAGGATGAAGAAGTGTCGAACATCGGCTTTTTCTCCTAAAACAAATAGGTTAAAAATAACATTTTATTTGAAAGCATTTCTAATTGATAAAGAATTCTAGAATTTTGCGTAACAGCGTTAAGAGTAGAACAGTAGTTATAAACAAACGCACAGGATAAGAAAAAAAAAATCGCCATTCATTCAACACCGTTTTGGGAAGCACGCTTTTAGCAACAAAAACAATTCTCGCCCAAGTTATTCATCGCGTAAAACAAAAGCAAAAAGGCTGTGGCATAACAGGAAGTTCCTTTGCTTTCCAGAAGCACCGACTAAGATTAATGTTATTTGAATAGAATCACCATTATTACCAGACTTTAAAACGAATCGCATAAAAAATTTGACACTTTGGCATTAATTACAAAATATTCATTTTCAAGAAAGGCACGCAAAATTACTTTAATTACTCACACAGCATATATTTCATAGCAAACAAAGCCAATGAGAAATGGTGGTAGGAGCTGAAAGAATTCCAAAGGCAGACGAATTTGGGGGAAAAGATATAATAATAATAAAGCCAAGGTGTTTTTTTTTTTTTTTTTCCCTCTTCCCCTCCACGATAGACACCCACCTATAGTACTTTCTTCAACTGAACGCTGAATATAAAGCTTGTATCACTTTTACATAAAATTCATTTTGACAAGAAATTCTATACGAATAATAAATTTCGCGTCAATGATCAACAATTACGATCTCAACTAATATTTATAACTGAGTATTATACTACTATATTAAACTTTCAATACTATGTCATAATCAATTACTCAATTTCAGAATAAGCTGATAAACTACAAAGGATTTTTTTAATCTTTCGTAGTTTTATCTTTCGATGAATGATGACAAAAACCTCTGTGGAATAAGATCATTATCTCAGATATTCATGGCCCGCTGCTATTGCTATCTGCAGCAATCTTTACCATAGCCGCTGAATTAATAAAACTCGAACGTAATATTCCTAACATAATTCTCGTACTTATCTTTGAAATATACAATAAAATTATAAATCTGAAACTTTAAAAATGCACAGATGGCGAAAGCTTTATACACAGTCTAAAAAAAGTTAAGTTTTACTGTGGAATGATGTTAAATTACTATCGCAACCCATCAGAATACAGCAAAATATCTGCAGGAAATGCATAAAGGAGAAGAAAATGCATGGGGTAACAGCAGTGACAATCGCAGCATTTAGAAACTGTTTTACCCATATCAGCAGGTAACTCAGTTGTACATAATCTGGAATATATAAACACCCTTAAGTTAAAAATAAATTGCTAAATCGTAAAAATGAATTAAATGTATAGCCATTAGTTTTTCGTTTTCCATCGACTTCAATCTAAATACCTGAGTAATAAACAAAAACAGTTTTATTCCCTAAAGCGTGTTCTTGTTTTAAATGCCGATTTAATTTATATAACCAGTGCATCTGTTCTCCTAAATTAAACTCCTTAAAAATAGAGGTAAACAGTAGATTTTCTGTTAATAAACTGTTCCAGCCGGTACAGTGATTAGTGGCTCTGACTGTCGTAGCGATGGGCCCGGTTTCGAATCCAGGAGAAGGCATGGTTATGACTGTCCGTCTCTTCAAGTGGGGCGGCAACGGAGGACGCTTAGGTGCTTCCATAATGACACGGACACCACTTTCGGCCCTTGTAGTGGTGCAAAGCTAACGACTATTAAATAAAGCGTCCGGCCATTAAAAAAATAATGTGTTACACCTATTTCCCTTCAACTGTTGTCAAATTAACTGCGATTTTCAGTCAACCGTGGACTCGTCCTTGGTATTATTCGAGAATCTGAAATACTTCAAACCTCCGAATTTATCGGTTCAAAGGAAAATATGAATGAAATGAATTTAATAGATCCCAAAAATAACTTATATCAAGCTAGATCATGCCAAGCTATTCTTACTATGCAATTAGCATAATGAGAATGCTATAAAAATTATGAATTAAGTGTTATTGTAATTTCATACAATTTATACAAATAAATATATTTACGACATAACACCACAGTTTTGTAGCACAAGAGCTCAAAATTCATTGAGTGCAACATAATTATAATTATTATTAAAATTGATTATCATCTGAACAAACTCTTGAAAATTAAAACAAGAAAAAATTGAATGCAGAGAAATTATTTCTAAAAGCCGACAAAGAATAAAAATATATGGTACTTTTCCGTTTTGCCGGCGCAAACGATAAAGTCGCCAATAATGGTACAACTGATGCCAAACGGAATATCTTCGCTGGTAAACCTTTTACACCTCATTTTCAAAACAAGTCGCAGCCATTTCTTACCAGATTGATTGTTTCTTTCAATACTGGCATACAATTACATAGAATTTTTACAAGATAGTTAAATTTTATGCCCTAAGACCATTCGCGGTAATTAATTCACTTAGGATGCAATCACACCGCTCACCCTGAAGGTGCAAAGATATAGAAAAGGCAAAGTCAAGGGTTAAATTCATCAATTCTAATGAGAATGCACTAGCGAAGTAAAGCACTGCGGTTTTACATAATTTCTGAGTAAGCTATTTGTACGAATTGAAATAATTCTTGCATTTAAACTTGTATTCCAAATTAAGATTTAACTTGAAATTAATGTAGATAATTACTGAGAGAATTATATTTTTGTAGCGTAGTTTACGTGAGATGAGATCACTTGGGGTCACGTGATATGAACCGGCGAATCAGGATGTTGAACCATGATAGCATAGTAAATTCTTAAATAATGTCTTTTTACAAATTTATTGTCTTTATTTTTTATTTTACAAAATTTTAAACCATATTAAAATGTTTATGCCTTCAAAATAAAAATTCTTAAGAACTAACATTTGTTAAATTTTTTTTATGTGTATACTGTATGTTGTCGCCAACAAAGTCTGCTTGGCGAGATTTGCGCCGGCGAAGCGGAAAAGTACCAAATATTTTAACATGCAAGTTAAGGCTTTCATAATGAATTTAATAGTATCACGTCGATTAATAATCACGATAACACGTCGATAAATTATCACGTCTCACCCACAGCATCAGCACACCGGAAGCTTTTCTATCGCATGGTACTCCTATAAACATCGTTCTGCTCTAACATAGCTCAACTGAGGGCTAAGGAATTTCTTTTCCATATCTATGACAGAACTACTGTTATCATAAAAGAAATCATCAAGGCAAAGTTAGATATCAAAAAAAGAAAGGAAGAAAGTTAAATTGCGCCTCATTTAGCCTCTAAATTAAAACCTTTCTGAGGAAGAAACAAAATTTAAGACAAAACTTCACAAGTGCCACACGATTCAACTAAATAAAGCTCTGTCAGCTGAAAGGAAGAAACTAATTTCTTTTTCGGGGGGAAGAGCAAAAAGTACAGCAATGAAATTATGCTGTTTAAGAAAGCTCAAAAGATGAAGATACCGAGGCAAAATAAAAACGTCTTTTAATGACGAAGAAAAAATGCTCCCTCTTTCCCAATGTTCCAAAAGCCCATCAAAATTTTAAGTGCAATTCAAAATTTCGGCTTCAGTTTTGGAATATATTTAGTTTGCGTTTTTCGCATAAATACTATTGGACAATAGCATTAATCCTTCCGCGGTCAAGAAACGAGTGACACCAGGAATTGGCAACTAACAGAATTACATTGCCTCAATAACACTGCCAGGACTAAGGCCAGAAGTGGTGGCCATTTTATTGTATGGACACCTAATAGGCAGCCACCGTTGTCTCCTATGAAGGGACAGTCAGTTATACTTCTTTCCCACTACTCTTAATCTATGACTGATGACCATGGAAAAAACGTTTACAGAAAACTTTTGATTTTGATGCCGAGAAAGGGCATCAAAAGCTATTGAAATCATAATATGCTTTCCGACTTGAGCTGAAAAGATTTTCCTAGGGCTAAAGAAAAGCAAACAGTCGTGTCCCGCCCTTTTATACGATTTCTGATTATACAAGTCCTGTAAGCATTGACAATTTATAATCCATAGAAAAATACTACTAACAATTTACTTGTATCTTCAAGAAGTTTAATCTGAGGGATAAGCTTCTTTGGTTACGTTAATTAAATCAACATTCTAAACAACAATTAAAAAAAGATTGCTCCTGCATTCCAAAAGAAGTCAAACCGAACGCTAATAACTGAACACTGGATATACACGATTTCTTTTTAACGTATGATTCAACAATGTTTATATATTGTTTAACGATATATTGTTAACAATGTTTTACGATCATGTACGGTTGAATTAAATACCAACATCATCTATAATCATTACTGTTATCCCATGCATTTTTCTTTTCTGTAGACAATTTAGTTTTAGGCTGATGGTTTTTTACATGCAATTTTTTTCCGTCGTTTCGCAATAATTTTTCAAAAGACAGAACTTGGTTAATCCGCTTCCGGTTAATCGGAAACTGACAACACTCCAAAAGTCAGTGCAATTATGTCTCACTAAATAACAGAACATTACCTTCGCTAAAGCATAATTAAATCTATTAATAATCTAAAACAGAAATATCCAGTAAATCTTACCGTTTATTTTGCCATCTTGATCCTTTTCTGTAACATCAGGTAAAAGTACACCTTTTTTAATAAGCTCATCTTTGGTTGAACGCATAGATATTTTTCTCTCGAGGGCTAAAGAAAAAAGTTGATCTATACATAATCACTTTTCATTTCGAGTATTTTGACATGTAATTATCAGAATTATGTATATAGATCCAGTAAAGAAAATGGAATATCATGCACATGGGGATATCAGTTCATGATTTAGGATTTGCTAAAATGCGGTTTATAATTTAACATTATGCAGATATGCCCAAGCAACTAAAAGGTAAGTAATTTCTATCATAATATGCAAGGCTTATACTGGATTTTAAAATATTCCTTTAAATACAGATCATCGATACTCATTTCGAACTACAAAGTCTATCGAAATAAGAGAATTTTACGAAAACCAATTCAGCACTGCGGAAATTGAGAAGATTTCCTACACGAGTAAATATACTTTACAAAGCCCTCGTCTAGTATAATTTCCCATTAAGTAAAAATTGTTATTAAAAAACACAGGCTTACTTCAATGCGTCTATGAGGGCAACCATAAATTCTATAATTCAAGTTATTTTACCTACTAAGGAAACAATTGCTAAAACGAGCAATTGGTAATGTCTTAAATTTCAGCAGAGAAAGTAGATTTTCCACATACTGAAACACGGAAACTTGTGATGCTGATTCCTATAACTTAATCGGAATTTCTCCAATGGGTTTCACTTTTTTTGTGCATGAATGCTAATTGTTTTGTTGAAAGCTGTCTTTCATTCCCACACTATAAATAAAAATTACTTTTATAACGTGTGTTGCAGTATTCCTGTACACCGAAAGTAAATAGTACATCATTTACGATGATAGGAAGGACTATGTTTTAGAGGTCAACTTGTATGCAATGTGATAGGAATTCGTTGCGTACAACTTGGACGCCAAAACATGTTTATAAATATAAGGGCTTAAAGACACTATAGTCATTTTCGGCTATCAGTGTTTTCGTAAAAGAAAACCCTTAACGTCGAATTCCACCGGCTTCACTGAAATTAGTAAACTACTTTTATTTCTCAGAGTTTACCGGGATTTTTTAACGACTTCTATATTTGAACTCTTGCGATCTGACGAAACATTCCTTCCATACCGCCTCTTCTTTATTCAAACTAGATCAATAATCTTCGTCATTATTTTGTAAAATTTTTGACGCGCGAACAATTTTCTGCTTGATCAATGATTTTCGCAGTCCCTGGATTTTTCGCATTTATTTCAAATTCAAATATTTCATATCTTTAAGGCTATAGCTTGGCCTTTTCAATGTTCTCAAATCATTCACTTTTTCTAAAAAAACATTAAATTTTTCATTTTTTTCATCTCATAAGCAGTTGCTTTAAACCAATAGCCGTTTTGTTTTAGATATTATAAATTGTAATTAAAATGATTTGTGCAAAGGTGTCTGCTAATTTAAACTGAATTACCCAGGGCAGGCAGCGAGGACGCCCCTTTGCTTACTGCCCCACGGAGTTTCCCCCTTCTACTTGCTTAAAGTAGAATACAATGAAGGAAACCACTGGCGGTACATTTCTTAAGAGCTCAGCGCTGGCTCAATCAATAAAAATGATTTAAATAATGAAATTTTAATTCACATTTCAAAGATCCCTTTGTACACAACATTTCTTGTGTAGATCTTTCCATCATTTTTAAGCTCGTCTTGCAGAGGACCATCCAATATTTTTAATTTTACGTCCGTTCTTTCACGAGCTCTTGAAGAGGCAATATAAAGCTGACCGTGTCCAAATGCAGGCTCCGGTAGAAAAAAATGCCAACGCGCTTAAGCGTATGACTTATTGATGGTCATAGCAAAGGCAAGTTTTACAGGAAATTGTCAATTGAAACGGCAACCCTGTTCCATGGCAACTTCACTTCATTGGCTAGTACCAATAAACTATCGGCGACAAACAGACATTTAAGCCGCATATATATATGTGGGGGGGAGTAACATCTCCTCCGAAATGGCTGGCTCCCGGGCTTAGCGAAGCATACCGTTGGATTCCGCAGGTCCGTGGCACGCCATTTTGACCATTTGCGTCTTCTTGGGACTTTAATTAGCCGAGATATTAAAAACTAATTTTCCACCTTCTTTCTTGTGTCTTCCCTATTAGAGGAATTTGGCTACGTGCCAAATTCTTTTTCCTCGAATATCTACGAAACGGCGCCGAGTTGAAATTCGAGACGCGTATCCTCGGATTCCGAAAAAGTCTGCGAATCCTCCGATACCGTTCTCATCTTCGTACGACTTTATCGGTTGAGATATTAAAAACTGGGGAAACGTTAATTTTCACGCTCATTTTTCCGGGTGGCAACAATAAACTATCGGCGACGCACACTTTAGCCGCCGCTTATATATATATATATATATATATATAAAGAAAAGTATTACAGCACGCTATATTTATTTAAAACGGCTACTGATTATAAGACAATGCTTTACAACCGCGCTTTCAGAAAATATTCATTCGTACATTTATTATTTTTCAGTTACCTCAATTTCTTTTACTAAGCTGGCAATGCAAAGTAAAAAAATTAATTACTTTTATTATTTTACTCTCGATAATCATGATAAATAAACTCATGACAGAAATTAAAGTACGCCGCGTTCTATCCGAAGTAAAACTACATAACGCACAACGGGAATAACGATTTTGATCTCTTACGCGTCTTTATGTTACATAGTACATACTATATATGGCTTACTGTTCACGTTATTCGTGAATTTTATTACAGAAATCCTGTCACACACAAAATACTTTTAGTCACTTCTTTCAATTTGCTTATAAAGATAATGCATGCGTAATAAAAATTAATCAAGTAATAAGCAATATGCATAATAAAACAAGCAATACATACACAGCAAAAACATCCAGAAATAAATTTTGCATATTTGTTAGTCTTAAGCAACGAATTATTAAACATTCAGTTTTTTGCTAAAAATTTCATACATCGTTTATTTAATACGCGGCAATAACATAAAATGAATGGACCCATTTATGTCCTCGTTGATGTTTAATAATTAACTTTTCACTGGACAAATATGGACGTAATTCACTAAGCAAGGCCATACCAGGAAAATCTGCGCATGGAAAAGTGATTCCCTGAAGGACCAAGGAAAGTACGCACACAAAAGCAGCTGATTCTCCTACCACGGATATAACTCAGTATACATTTCTCCTTGATCGGTACGTTCTTTAACGAATGTAGTTAACACTATTAACACAATAAAAAATTTAAAAAAAGATGTACCAAGACGTTATAGAACTGGTGACCTGGTGAGACCTGGTGAACCTGAAGAGACCTGGTGGCGCTGAGAGCAAGATATATGCATGGAAAAACAAGCTTAAAACTTCAGAGGAAGTGAATGTTCTATTCAGATAATGCAAGCTATACATATATATATGCATATAGTTATTCAATAAAGCGATGGCTCACCTCAGGCACTCATGAAAGCTCTTATCAGGCTTTGTAGAAACTCGTAGATTTGGCACACGATCTGCGAGACGTCTTGCAAACAAACTCTCCAACTATCCAGTTAAATCGGTAGCATCCTCGGACGGTTGCAAACGCTTATCAGACCCTAAAGTTGCTTTACTGGGGTGAGATCTGACGATCTAGCTGACTGAGAAGTCTTTGACAAGTACAAGGACAGAATGAATACCATATGCGAAGGAAATAAACAGGAAATTGTTGAAGTTTAAGCCTGAGGTGCCAAAAGACAGGGTAACATAACGGAGAGGAGGCCACCGTGCTGTAACGGTTCACAGATAACAATAAAAAAAAAATACGATTATCAAATTAAACTGCTTTTCAGACTATAACTCTGGTGTCGAGCTGTGCGATCAACGACAGTCAGATCAGTAAACCCACCGCTACCCTGAAAGTATAAAAACTCATCTTCGCCATCGGGACTCATAGATGAAAATAATTCTATTCTAGTCAGCGAGGTTCCAATACGAAGAGACCGGCAACACCGCAAACGTGATAAGCGAGGGGTAGTCTGTGTAACGGGCGTTGTGAAAGCAGACCCCGTTCTCCGAGGGGTCTGTCAATGGTCCCCGTAACCACTTCTGTCTTATTTACATGTTGGATCGTTGAGAATGACGAATCAGGCGCTGTGGTTTCGGTTTATTTTGACTATAGCACAGCACTCGAAGGCTAACTAGCTAATTGGAGGGAAGACTTTCTAAGGGAATCTTAACTCGTATACACGTTACACTTTAGAAACACATCCATATAAGGAAAACCACAAAAACGGCCCGTTCGTGGGGATTCAAACCCCGAAAAACCGAACTACCACTATTCAACTTTTGATGGGCCTAATTCAGGTGCTACGACAACCGCTCTATCACCATATCTTCCCGCGAATTCCGCGAACGGGCTGGCTGCATGGGCGTTTTCGTGGTTTTCCCTATGTGTAACGTGTATACGAGCCAGTTTCCCTTAGAAAGTCCTCCCCGAAGGCATTCCTCCCCTTAGGCAGATAGCCCTAGTGTGCTTTGCCGTAATTAAATACCTGTTAAGTTCTTGGAATTATTAAATAAAAATACCACAGCTTCTTTTTACTTCAGATTGCTTTTAAAATTTCTTGCTATGTGCCTTTATATTCTTGCTATGTGCTATGTGTCTTCCTAAATCGACTGTTGCCTTCTAGACTACTGACTCCCCGGCTAGGTTCTGTACCTTTCGACCACGGGGACATAAAAGTCAGTCTTCACAGAAATAGAGCCTCCATTCATTCGGGGGATGGTTAAGGCTCGGCAGAGACCATATGGTACTGTCCTGTCTGCTCCCTGACTGTGGGGTCACAGTACAATTAGATACTGTGGTTATCCTTGGGAGTTTGGCCCCATTCGGTCACCTGGTGGAGGACTGACAGAGTGGACGGAACACCCTTATGAATATATATTTGTTGCGACCGGAGTGGTTCCCGAGAACAAAGTTGTCATCGTATTAAATTTTGTCAGCGACCAGAGTTCGTTCAGTGCCTTGCATAAAGCCTGGAAGTGACCGCGGGGTCTGCGCCAGCTTGAATGGTCTCCGAAGTCTGGACGCTAATTTCTGGAAGGTTGGGTGTTCTGCCTTTTAGATGCTGTGATCTGACATGATTCAACTATTCTTGCCAAATCGTCGAATGGTAGCATTCCTCCAACTCAAATATGCCAAGCAATCGTGGCAGGCCACATGAAGATTAGTGCATGCGCGATTGCCACACAAGTTGCAGTCTAAAGCTAACGCCCCACACAGCAGGAATGATAAAAAGGTGTCAGATGACATATTCTGACACTGCAGAAGTAACTTCTACAACAATACAATAGTAACTTCATGACCAGTGTCAGAGGATCTTAATGATATACAACGTGTCTGTCACTAAAATTACTCTATTTCAAAAGGCGTCACTGACCAATGAACCTGCAGTTCCTACGATATCATCTAGAATCACAATGAATTAAAAACAGCGTAACTAATTCAGTCCGTAAAATGTACACACACCAAAATATTCAGAAAAGCGCAGAACTCTCAAGCACTTGCTGCTGCACAATGAAAGTAATTCATTATATTTACCACTGAAGGCTCAACGCATAACTCAGTGGCTGTTACTAGTTTGTTACTGGTACTACCAATAAAATTATTAATCATTAGTAAGCTTTTTTGTTCACTGCTGTTAAATATGTAAACTAACTAAACGCCTTGTTATTAAATATGTTATGATAAATTATTAAATATGCATGCAACAAAACCATTAGTTGTACCAGAAACGATATACCACTTAAAAGGAACATTCAAATCGTCAAAGAATATATTAGTCGCCTGAAATAACGATGCCATTTTAAAACCTGACTTAGAAATGCTGTGCATTATTTACCACAGATATTTATCAATTTGAAGCATTTTCCGACTGAAATTGTTTGAATCTTAAAATGCATAGTAACAGCTAAATCATAATTTATTCCAGTCTGCGAGATAAGCGAAATACTAGTTTACGATGTTTTTATTTACATCTTGTACTCGCGCGAATTATCAACAAGTTTACTGCCAGAAAGCGTTTTGAAATCACGTTTACAGACGAAACAGAAAACATTTACACGCCACAACTTTCGTGACCTACTTACCACATCGAAAAGACATAAGCGGTAAGCAAAGTGGGATCAGTGAGAATATGAACTCGGTCCAGAACACCTCAGTGCAATATTTCCAATTTCTATCCCAGAGTAATACACTTCGATAACCGCGTTGACAAGTTTGGGAGAGAAATACCTTAATATTAAAAAACTAATATTCTTGTAGTTCAAGGTTCTATAGTTTCTTAAGCTTATAAGGTCTGCGTTTAGTTAAACGATATCTATAAGAAAGAACCATCATTTATTCTTGTTATTTATTCTCCATACAGCATTTTTAGAATGATTTAGAACACAATTTTTTTTTAAATAGATATCACAAAATCTAGTCGTTCCTGTTAAGTTCTTAGCGGCCGAGCGGTAAAGTCGCCGAACGCTGGTAGTTCGGTCCGAGGTTCGAATCCCGCGAACGGGCTGGCTGCATGGGCGCTTTCGTGGTTTTCCACATGTGTAACGTGTATACGAGCCAGTTTCCCTTAGAAAGTCCTCCACGAAGGCAGCCCTCCCCTTAGGCAGATAGCCCTAGTGTGCTTTGCCGTAATTAAATAAACCAAACCTTTTAAGTTCTTGGAATTGTTATATAAAAATAGCACAGCTTCTTTTTACTTCAGATTGCTTTTAAAATTTCTTGCTATGTGCCTTTATAGGCAATTAACTTTTCATATTTACATTACGTAGCTTATCAAGAGACCTACCGCGTGTACTCGGAAGAATGGTTAACCTGTAATACGGAATTAAAAACAGTAGCAGCGAAGACTAATTAATATTAGTGTATTTAATTATACAGGATAGCACCTACTGTATCCATTAACTTGAAATAACAAAAGAAAGACAGCTGGCGATATAATTTCATGTGATTACGGAAAACAACACACACAAGTATTTATTTATATAGGTTGTCAAATAAATGTTGCGACAAACTTAAACTTCTGGGGAGGTAGGGTACATCATAAAGATTAAGAATTGCAATAGGAACCCATGCCCAGAAACGTCACTGTATACTGCCAGGAGGTGGTGTACAGAATACTGCTAGCGGAAAGTGAGGATTGCCTCATTCGAGCGGTAGGTACCACACTGTTACGAAATGTAAAGGCGCGGTGAGATGGCTTTCCCGCAAAGTAGTTTGAAGGTTGCCATAAAATGGCACGGGGAGGCAGGGTTGCCACATTTGGCGACAAAATTGGCGATATACCATGGACGGATGGAGAACCTTCTGGAACGAATTCTTACCGGTTTACCCCAGAATGTTCTCGAACACATGCCGAAAGCTATATATACCCTGCTGGTCCGCAGTCAGTGTGTGTTTCATCGAAAGGGCGAGTCAGAGTGCCTCGTCTGGATAGAATTGGTGTCTCGTCTAGCGAGTCAATCCCTGAGGAGTCTATCGAGTTGACAGCCGGGCAGCGAGTGCCGAGTGGGTCGTCGAGTTCAACGAAGGAGTCTTAGTGTATCGCGGTTAGTGCATCGTCGAGAAAGCGTGTTGAGCTCCGGGAACGACTGATCCGAAGAGCTGTATTCTGGTGCTTTGCAATGAAGCTGTCTTCACTGTGATAGCCTGATAACCTGAAGGTCGTGTGTGTGTGAGATTATAGCAAAGCCTCGAGGGCTATATGCCTAAGGGGAGGGAGGACTTTCTAAGGAAAACTGGCTCGTATACACGTTACACATAGGGAAAACCACGAAAACTTCCATGCAGCCAGCCCGTTCACGGGATTCGAACTTCGAATCGAACTACTAGTGTGGGCCTTCCAAACGTCAAAGGTGGTGTGTATGGTGTATTTAATTACGGCAAAGCACGCTAGGGTTATCTGCCTAAGGAAAGGGATGCCTTCGTGGAGGGCTTTCTAAGGGAAACTGGCTCGTATACATGTTACACATGGGGAAAACCACGAAAACACCCATGCGGCCAGCCCGTTCGCGGGATTCGCCCCTCGGACCGAACTATCAGTGTTCAGCGACTTTACCGCTCGGCCGCTGGTGGGCCCAAACGTCAAAGGAGCCACAGAAGGTAATTAACTGGGCATAAAACGAAAAGTAGACTTTAGAAACATCAGGACTGTGAAAAACGAATGTTTGCTATCGACTATTTAAAAGAGCGGTTTTTGTTACTGTAACGCGTCTATCACTGCCCATTAATATGACGCTAATTTTTGTAGTTCGTTTTTATACTTATTTATAAATTATGTAAGTTCTTATGTAAATTTTAATATGATGTTTCCATAACTGCTTAATATCGAAAGTGGTTATGCCTCTATCCAAGAATTAATTTCTACATTTAGAAGTACTGGAGCTCTTTGAAAGGCTATCAAAAACGGTGAACAGTAATAAATAAAACAATTAAGGAATAATTACAGTTAAATTATATGAAAAGAGAAAAATATTAAAAAAATAATGATAAATAGATTAAATAAAATACAGACTAACAATTAAACGAAATAAAAACTAATGGAAAATAAATTAATACTTAATTGAAAATAGAATATCAAAAATCATAAAATAAAACAAACGGAAAAGGAACATATATTTAGAGATAGCAAGGTGGATAGAGGAAAGGTAAATTTTTTTAACCTTACCCTTCGTGGCCACATAAAATTGGATTTTTAATTTGGCTTCTAATTTATTTAAAACACCTTTGACCAAACAGGTACAACCATGGCAATTCCTATTCCTGGTGGGAACACTTTTCGAAATGGGAGTTTCTTTCTCGGCTACTCAAGTTTCGCGTATTTGCGCCATCCAAATCAACGTGAGGCATACATTTTAATATCTATAATATCAACACTAGTTTTGTAAACAACCATAGGAAATATTCATTAATAACACCTTGCGAGTATTGAAGTTCCTCTTCTTTGGAATTCCGGTGTGCTCTGTTTTCCAAAATACGAATTTTATTTCCCAAACGGAGAAAAACCGGAGCCGGCCGAGGACTAATTTTATGCCGCACCTCTAACATCATTTCTTACCATTAACGTAAAAGACATGTCTAAGACACAAGAGTTCTCGATACTTACTTCTGGAAGTCTGTTCAAATTTGTCGCTCTTTCTTCCGCTTCCACTTCCAGGGCTTGAACAACCTCCCCAGCATTGCGAAGCGGCTGTGTTTGCCCTCCATGGGAGAAGGCGTGGGTGACCGGGGGTTGGAACCCACAGAGCCAGTTTTCATGGCACCATTTGCTTTCTTACCTGCAAGTCAAAACAAAAATTAATATCTTACAATAAGGGCATACCTAGCAAAGCTGAACTATTAACAAAACCCATATGTCGCGTTTGGTGGCCATATCTTTGAATGTGGGGCAGTGTTTCGTTCTGCATTAAGTTACAACTAATGAAACACGTATACATAATACACCAATTTCAGATACAAAGATAAATTTTATGCATGTTATAAAACATAACATATAAAATATTAAAACAATTTTTTAAATAGACACTGAGACAGAAAAAGACTAACTACTTAAATTTCATGGTTTAAAGCACGCTGCCTAAGGGAAGCTGTGCCTTCGAGGACTTTAAGGAAAACTGGTTCGTATCCACATTATAAATGGGAAAAACCACAAAACATCCATACTGTTTAGAATCGAGCCCAGATCGAACTACCAGTGTTTAGGAACTTTACTGAGGTTTAGTCCGAGGTGCGAACGGCTTACTGCATGGGCGTTTTACAAGTTTCTCCCATGTGTAACATATATATACCTACGTAGTTTCCATAAGAACGTCCTCCCCGTTGGCATCCCTCAACTTAGGCAGATAACCCTCGAGGCTTTCCTATAATCACATACACCAAATCAAACTCCGAGATTAGATAGTTCTTTCTTAGTTCCCCCCTCTTCTTGAGATTTGATTCTTTTCACGAAATCCTTAAGATTTATTTAAACCCGTTTGTTTAAATGGTGGGCACAAATAAGGAAGCCCTTTTTTACCTTTTAATCCCTTTAAAAAATACGGTTTGTTAAAAATCAATGACAGTTTTTACAAATATATACAATCGAATACACCGAATATAAACAGTCGATTTATATGTTGTGCGGATCTGTAGATGAAAGTTCTAACACATGAAATTTCTTTCGTTTTGCGCTAATGGCCTCCTTCCGGCCGTTTTGTGCTCGATAATGCATAACTATTCTCAACCAGTCCTCAAATCCTCTTGAGAACAGAGAATCCTAAAGCTTATGAACAATGCTCGAAAATCTGAACTTAAGATTTTCTTGTTGCATCACTTCCAGATCCCTAACATCAATCCTAAAGCAGGGTTTAAGTATACACAAGGAAAGCAAAAATCGCTAACATTTCCTTCTACCTCTTGATCAAACGGAGTGTTACAAACTAAGCTTAGCTTTCCTACTGTTTAAAGTAATATAGTACGTACATGGCAGCATGTTTAATAAGCAAATGATAAGATTTATAGAGTATATATATATATATATATATATTTTAACGTTAGCAAACAGTCAATTTGATTGACAAACATTACAGCAAAGCATACGAGACATATCTGGCTTAAAAAGTCCATCTTTGTTGAGGACTAAGAAACTAGTTCGTATTTACGTTGCGAGTAGAAAAAAGTGAAAAAACAAAACTATAAAACAGCTAGGGACGAAACTACAAGTATTCAGTGGTCTTCAGCCACTGGTAGACTATCAGATAAAGATGACATTACCTCATTAGCAAATCATGCGAATACATTTTTAAGGAACCTTGAGTTTATGTCTTATTTTCATTCGAACATTTTAATTCCCGACAAAATTCGTATGGTTGTCGAACTCGACAAAATTCTCTTGGTCTCAATATGAAAACCGAAAGAACTTTTATTTGTTGAGGTAATCTAATTTAACGGAAAATCTAATTTTTACTTGACATGTAAAATGTAGCGTTATTCTTTATTTTATACACACAATTGACGATGAATATAAATTTTATATACAACCACCTTTCAAAATACTGTAACTACTATGCTTTAATTAGAACTCGCGAAATTGTCACCAACTCAAAACTCGCGAATTTCAACTAAATTAAGAAATTTCTCAACAAAAATACTTAAAACACAATGACACGACATTCAACAATGCAGTATTCTCACATAATAATAAAGTAATTTCTATTCAAAAATATGTGCTTAATAAAAGTGACAGCTGTATACAAGATTTCGTTTTTCATCCTTACAATTTTTCTGCACATAAAACTAGCAAGATCAGGACAGATGGATACACTGTGTGCAAAACAAGCACAGAAATCCTAATCGTGTAGCAGGAACTCCTTTGTCGTACGCCAAGTGGAACTGAGTTTCTCTCTCTGGCACACAATATGTCAAAATTTCTTTTATTAAAATCTAATCTGTTCAGGGATTGTGAATCGGATGAAAAGTAAACGACTGCTAATAGTCATCCAAGAACAGAAGCGGTATGTGTTAGAATACATGTTAACATGCACTTAAACTCTACGCACATCAGTTGTAATTTCTTTTAGATTATCAGTGAATGGAGAAAAGTTTCGATGAGACAATTTGTTTACATATAAAAATTTGTCAGTAAAATTTAATGCAAAATAAACAGTACTTCCAGAAAAATAAGAATTAATTCTTCCCAACTGTCCTTTATTTTAGAAAAGTCCTATATTTTACACCACCGGCTGAGCGGTAAAATAGCTAAACATTAGTAGTTCCTACCTGGATTCGATTCCAGCCGAACGGGCTGGATGCATGGGCATTTTCGTGGTTTTCTCCCCGTAAGTAAAGTGTATACGAGCCAATTTCCCTTAGAAAAACCTCCATGAAGGCATCCCTCCCCTTATGCAGATCGTGTAAAACCTCAATCACATTATGCTTCGGGTACGCGGGACTTAACGTCGAAAGGGACAATTCTCAAAACCCGCACAATTCCAGGAAACCCACGTACCCAGGTTACCATTCTCACTTACTACAAAGACTTGGACGCCAAACACTAATCGATTATCGCTCACATTGGGATCACGTGATGTTTCAGAAGCAGAACTTTCGTCTGTTTGATTGTCTACCTGGGACAGAGGTTCAGCCGAGACATTTTCAGTGAGGTTTGAAAAAATCCCGCGTAGCCGCAACATAGTTTCCGTAGCTAAGTGGGAGTTCGCTTCAGGGGGCTCTTTTTCTACGAATCCTTTCGTTTAAACCAGTGATATAGAATCTCGTTTCTCAGAAAAGTCCCGTCTATCAGGGTCTGTAGCCAAGTGTCGTAGCCTCTTAAGGGGAGGAGTGCTTTGCCATAATGAACTAATCCAAACCAATCTTATAGAAGCGAATAAAAAATTAAAAACATTTTAACTTACTTATTAAATTAAAGCTCAACACTTAGTTTTTAAAAACTGAAGCTATTTGAAATAACGCTAATGTGGCGGGATCCGACTACAGAGGGAATTCTTTCGGCTCACTCAAAAAATCTGAACGATTTTTACCCCAAAATTTTGAATTAAATTTGACTGAATGGCATTGATTTGCTGGGCTAACTATCCAAGAACTACGATTTGAATCCTTTTTAGGAATGAACAATAATCCATCTCCTCTCAAACAGTAAATGTCAAAGTACGAATTTATCACTTTACATGATCAAAACTACTTCACTGGTGCTTAACTGAGTTAACTTCACATTAGGAAGTCAACAAAAATCATAAATATACGAAAAATGGCCTCCAAAATGGCAGATAATGTCACCATAGCAATGATATCAACTGTTGGGAAAAAAGGTCAGCCACGCGAAGTAAGCAGATGGATAAGACGTATTCCGTTCACTTAACGCATCACATCTAGAATGTTCTTATCACATAGTTACATAAATGATAAATCCCACGCTACTTATCTGTACGAGTTAGATGTTTAACCTTTCCTCAGCTCTAACCTTTTCTTACATTTTCTAGTACTTTAAAAACAATGCATTTGGACTTCCTTAAACTCTCAGCTCAAGTTCTTCTCCGTTCCAATTAAACAGTAATTTAACCCAGCGTTAGAAGCGGTACACTTGTGCTGCATAATTAGGCGCGTGTCACCCAACTACTAAAAGGTATCTGGAATAAGGAAAATCATTTTTGGAAAATCATTTTGCCGCCACAACAAACACCAAAAATTACGGGTTCAGCTACTGAAAGGCGCGACATCGAAAATCAATACAGTTTTGCAAACTTAGGGACAAATATCTCTAATGAACACCTCTTACCTACACCCTTAATCTAGGGTTGAAAATCACTGAAGTTCATCTTAAGCAAAGGCTTATTTAATGAAATGGGTCATACGGCAAGGTATTTAAAAAAGAATTTAAGGGGCAAAATATGAATGTTTAACATTATTAGCATGTGTATTGATTGCTTTCCAAAATGTTGTTCCTACACAAATACATGACCTACGAAAATCTATGAACATTTTAAAGCTAAAAATATAAATAGAAAATCCATATTTTGATTTCCTCTGATTCCCCCCCCCGATTGTGTTATTTTAACAGCATAAATAAATCCTTCATGCATGCCGATACAACACAACACTGGGAAAATGATAGAGCAAAGCCTTTCACGGTGACCTATGATGGCCATGTATGAAAGTGCTCAGTATTTTTCGGATCATTTGAAAGTCAATAATGATGGTTTCTAAACCAACCGCAATACAAGACCCAATTCGCTTGTACCATGTACAGTTTTAGAATATTCGTATACTTTAATAACCAAACCAAAAAAAAAAAACCGATTGTAAAGGCGAGAACTTTAACTCTTAGCATATCTCCGAGATAACTGGACAAGCAATTATAAATTTAACCATATATGTTGCTCCAAATGTACTCTTATTCCCAAGATCCGCAACAGCCCCTGTTTAATGATTCGATAATAACATTTTTTTCTTTTTTTTTTTTTTTTTTTTTTTTAGTCCAAAGGGATTTGAATCCCGAAGGACTATTAGTTTCGTTTTGGCATTTTGCGTCGGACGGATAAATGTCGGTTCACTTTTCAAACTGTTGCCACAAAATGTTACAGTCCTGCATTATATTTGAAGAAATTAAATAATGAAAATCTGCGTAAATGTATGTATATTTCTCACATTGTCATAAAATAACGGTACATAGAGTCATCGAATTTTGAATAACGTAATCCTCCAACGAATATGAGCATGTGGAAGACCAAATTTGAAATTTGAAATTTGTTTTATGATCGATTTCCTATTTTTTAAAACTTTG